AGAACTACTTGTGTGGTAACAGGTGCAAATGTTAAAGGTCTATTGTTGATTTTGTGTTTATTGCAGTATGTATGGTGGATCAAAAATTTGTATGGGAAAATGGTCAATTCAGCACTTTTTTGAAAAAAACACAGAAATTTTCCCAAAAGACCAATTGCCATGGAAAGTTGCCAAAACGATTTTTCGATTGCATTTTGATTTTTTTTTTCAAAAATCCCAAAATCGTGGATTTGAGAAACAGTTTTTGTTTTTTTGTTTTTGTGGCATATTTCTAAAGTGAGGTGCAGACGTGCATACATGACTAAAAAGTGATATAATTACAAGCTACGTAGCTTTAATATGACCAGCTAGCAGAGATGTTGGTTTGTTCTGGATGTTAATGGTTAGGTTCTACATTGGTTGTTGTTGTGTCTGTTTGTTTTGAGTGGTTGTTATTGTTAGTGTTATTGGTTGCTTGAACTGGCGGTACTACTACTGGACGGTACTGGGTTAGTATAGGTATTTTGAGGCCAAAATACATGTGTTTTTGAACCCATTTAATTGTAGAGTAGGTTTTTCTGTTACTTGGTGTGTTTATTTGGGTGGATATCATTGATTATGATGGTTTTATTGAGATTTCTTTATTTGGATATTTGTATAGTGGATTTTGGCGTTACGGCCACATTTTCACGTGACTATATTCTGTAATTAAGTATGTAAACTTTCTAATTATTTAATTCGATCATATAATGGTTTAAGTGACAATAGCAGCACATCATATGCTCTAGCGATCATACTACTAGTAATCAAGTACAAATTTGTTCAAAAACAGGCTACAACTGTGCAATTTGTCATCTGGTCACGTGACTGAATTTTGAAACGGATATAATTGAACAACATTATATGAAACCAATATGGATAGAATCGGTATTTACACTCTTTAGCTTCTTAAGTTTTTATTAATGTATATTTCCTGTTCATATTTCACAAAAATATTTTTGTTTTTGAAATTTAAAGAATTTTAACGACGTACTTATCTGTATTTTATAAAACAAATAAAGGTATATCTATGTTTATTGAAAAAGTTCTGTTTTCGCCCTAAAAATACGTTCATTGTATAGAGAATTCACGTTTATAAAGATTAGAGATTTTTAATATATATATGATCTAACAAAGTGTGTGGAATAATGCTGCTTAAAAATGAGAATTTCGAGTGGATTTTTTTTTTCATTTTCTCATAGTTAATTTCGACCGCGAAAACGCGTGGTAAGAACTACACAATGAACAATAAGCACAATACACGGAGCTCAGTTGATATGCTGACCTATTGAAATTGGCACCATTATAATCTTTGGAAGCTGGAGATGACATTGATCTACATTGAATAACCTTTATTTTTGAAATTGACAAATTAACACGCGAAAACTAAACCTATACACAGTTAAGTATGGGACAAGCTTCGTGTTTGTTCAAATTTTACCCAAATGTTTTCAATCAGGGACTCTTTTTAAAGCCTAGAGACCGTAGAATTCAATGGTGCTAATTATTAGTTGCGATTGATCACGATTATATAGCTGTTTCCTTTTGTTTTAGTTAATGTTGTTCTTATGCATAAGACGCGTTTTTAAATTTCTATGTACATGTAAACAAGTAAGTTCACCACCAAAACAACCATGGCAACGCAATAAAAACCAAGGCAACGCAGTAACAAACAACCACGTCGACCAATAGAAATGGATAACAATAGGAAGAGCATGCACAAGAAACATTCCAAGGATATGTAATTGAATAATTAAAGGACATCATTTCCACTTTTCTTCCTTTCTTCTTTTGTTTCTTTCATAACAGATGTTGAATAAGGCAAAACAATTGAACAAAACAACAAAGTAGGCTCTGCTCTATAATAGTCCTTTCTTAGGGATAATACTAACCTAGTGACCAGGGATAATGAGGTGGATGTATGCTTCAAAGTGGTAGCTGTAACAGTATAATAACGGTATGTCAAGTTAAGACTAATACTAACAGCTCTTTCAGTCTAGGTTGTTCATTAAGAATTGGTGTAGTTGACTGACTTGAGGTGGTTGATTCTATGTGGTGATAGCTTGGGCTTTCAGAAAATAATATAACTGGGTAAGCATTACTTGAGTCTTATAACAACAACATTCTGACTATTAAAAGTCTGTGAATAATTTGATCTGATAACAAACTATATGGTACTAGTAAAGATTTGATTGGTATTGATATGATTCCATTAATTGAAACTTTAAGCTGAGTATTGATCAATTATATTTGAGGTTTTGATGAAGAATGGGAACCTGTTGATTGGGGTTTCAAGCGGGTCTTAGGTTTGTGTGTTTTCTTTCAACATTGACATGCCAACTAGTAGCTTTAGAAGAGTTTGATGCTTAAAACCAAAGTCAACCAACTTCTTTAGTTAAATAGTTTAGAAAGGATTTGATTCCTTTCCTTTGCAAATATCAATTTTATGAATAATAAATTGCATGATTTCGTTTCAGCATAGTGTTTACAACGCTCATTTTGCACAATCCAGGTTCTGACTTCTTACTTCTGCGATATAGCTTTTGGAAAACCCATATCAGTTAAATTAGTTTACATGACTGGGTCCGGTTACCTATTTTGTTCTTGAACACTAACTAAACACACTGTTCAATGTTTTTTCCACAAAATTTTCTCTAATACTTGATGATAATTTTCTTTAACGTTATTGAAATATTCACAGAGCTGATCAGATCAGACGTTTGTACTGTATTCAAAATGTATCTGAGTCCGGTACAAGATCAGGTTGAACAATCCATTACTACTGTGCTCAACTTCCAGAATCCACACGTAGTAATTGGAATTCCAACGGAGTTTCTCCTACTTCCAAGACCACCACTACTGACTAGTCCAATATGATGGATATGAAAGGAAAACTTAAACACAAAGTAAAAGCGGTGCAGAATCAAAAGACTAGACCAACAAGCAACATGAATATCTCAATTACTGAACTTTACTTTAATGTTCGTATTGTTGAGCCAGTGGTGATCAAAGGTTATCGCGGTCATCAACCTACAATAGTAATATGCGACAGTGTCACAATCGAGATGCGGCTAAACATGGAGGTCCCTTTAAATGACAGCCACGGCAATAGCCAGAAAGTGCAGCCAAATACTACGTGTAACGTTTCTAGTTTCATCATAGCAATTGCTACTGCTATAACCCACTAGTTCCACCAGGGCACTTATCTTATTCAATCAACATTCTTGTCAAGGAAGCCTCAAGCCTCAACTTGCTCAACAACTTTGGAAGCAGCCAGTTATTTTTGTTTGAAATGGAGAATCTTTGAAACATGAGGTATATTGTAGAGATTAAGCCTGATCCTTATAACCTACTGATAAAATATTGGCTACACTGTGTGGGATATCTATCACAGAACTCTTGATAAATCCGGGGTAGTATACGCTACAAAGAGTATCAATAGACTACAACAGCTCCCCCACGTCGAGCGGTCCCTCTGCTCTTGGCTCGGTGCTCGCAGCCCCCACGGCCTCCCAGAGACAACCTGCCCATAGTTAAGTTCGTATTTAAACAACCACTTCTCCACTTGCCCCAGAGCTCAAGTGACCCTTTGGCGAATTCCCTCACGCCCATTTTCTCATGGCAGTTGCTGGTGGACCCTTGGTGGTGCTGGGATGTCCTCGTGTAACTTTGATGACTTGGTAGCCTCTTGTTGCCAAAACAAGCACTGTAACTAAATCTCAAAGACTAGACCTTCCACAATTGTACCCTCATCAACTCTACAGATATGGTTCCTTGATATATTAATTTCTGGGGTAAAAAAAACTGAACTCCTTGATATAAATACTCTCAACTTCCCATCTTTATCTCCATAGCTGATCATTATCCAAAGTATTCTAACTCACCAATACGAACTATTCATCATGACAGACGACTATGAGAACCAAACGGTTGGTCAATACATCAGAAGTCGTATTCCTTCACTCTTCCAATTACCAAACACTTCATTGAAAACTCTGAATCCAATCCCAGCTTTCAGAGCAATGTCAAGATCTGATTGGAACTTCTTTATGATGGGTTATATGGCATGGACCATCGATGCTTTTGATTTTTTTTGTGTCTCTTCTGCTGCTTCAGCTATCGCTACTTCTTTAAAAGTTTCAATCACTGATATAACATGGGGTATTACACTTGTTTTAATGTTCAGATCATTGGGTGCCGTTATTTTCGGTTTCATTTCTGATACTTATGGAAGAAAACCTGCATATTTAATGTGTGCTGGATTATTTGTTGTTATCGAAATTGGAACAGGGTTTGTTAAAACGTATGCTCAGTTTTTAGGTGTACGGGCAGGTGAGTATATTCGTTTTTTTTGTTCCATGTTGATTGCGGATTTAATGCTCGGAGATTATATTTGGATGATCTTTTTTCCAACATTAAAACCATGATCATCAATCAATATTTAACTTGAAGGATGTAACAGAGAACTAACTTTACAAAAATAGTATTTGGTTTGGCAATGGGAGGAATGTATGGTTCAGCATCTGCCACGGCTCTTGAAGGTGCTCCAGCTATTTCTAGATCAGTTTTAAGTGGAATTTTCCTTCCAGGTTACAATTTGGGGTATATCTTTGCCATTGTCTTTTTCCGTGCATTTGAATTCACTACACATGGCTGGAGAGCATTGTTTTGGTTTAGTGCTGCTCCACCTGCAATCTTATTTGTTTGGAGATTATGTTTCCCTGAATCACAATTTTTCATTGAACATAAAAGATTGAAAAAGGAACAAGCCATGCAAGAAGGTAATCATGAAAGAGCTGATTCTGCTTTCAAGCAATTTCTTCATGATTTGAAAATGGCCATGAAAAAGCATTGGTTATTATTTGTTTTCTTAATCTTTTTAATGAGTGGTATGAATTTTAGTTCTCATGGTTCTCAAGATTTGTTCCCAACAATGTTGACAAAGCAAATTGGATTGAGTGCTGATCAAAGAACTGTTACTATGGTTGTTGTTAATTTGGGTGCTATGTGCGGAGGTTTAATCATGGGTCAAGTTTCTGAAATAACTGGTAGAAGATTAGCATTGGTTATTTGTTGTGTTATAGCTGGTGCTTTGATCTATCCAACTTTTTTCGCAAAATCTCAATCTCAAATCATGGCTTCAGGGTTCTTCATGCAAGCGTGTATTATGGGTTCATGGGGGATTTTACCAATCCATTTGATTGAATTGTCACCTCCAGAATTTAGATCTCTTTTCGGTGGGTTGGCTTATCAATTGGGTAATTTGGTTTCAAGTGCTTCTTCAACTATTGAAGCTGATGCAACAGAAAAATTCCCATTACCTGAAATCGGACCTGGTGTTCACGATTATGGTAAAGTCATGGCTCTATTTATGACTGGTGTTTTGATTTTCTTATTGATTTGTGTTCTTGTTGGTCCTGAAAGATTCCATAGAGACTTGTCTGCTGGTGCTGAAGATCGTGCTAAAGAAAATGCTGAAGAATATGAACAACAAACATTTGACAGTTCTGATGAACGTAATATTAGCACTTCAATGCTTGAGATTGATCAAGAGAAACCAACAGCTCATCATAGAGAACATCATGGCCAATATTATAAGGGTAATGATGTTTGAGACTAAGATATTCTACAGGTGCAAGATACCACTGCTGGTTCGGTGTTGATTTGTTTGCTAATATTTTTTAAATATACGTGATTTTTTGACTTTAAAACTAGATTAGTACTTTCATGGAACTGAATCCGAATACTATTTGGAATTAATATTTTTTTACCAGAGTACAAATCTTTTTACAATTTGATATAGTGTAAAGAAAACATAAGGTAGAGAGCCCTTTGGATCCTACAAGCTTTGGCACAATGCTCATTAAACTCGTCGATTTCATCTCAAATGTATTCAACTTAATATCGATCTTTTCCAAATCTCTTTCAATGCCTTGTTGAAAATTTCAACGTTATAATCAACCACAGCCATCGTGGTATCCACATCTGAATCCTTAATTAAGGCCACTAGGGCCAACCCTCTGATCATTGTATGGAAAGTCAAAATATACCCGTTTTGTAAAACAGATGAACATTTTAATGGTTGGTTAGATATTTTGTTTTCATATAAATCATTTAAATCCACAGTAACATCAATAAATTCAGCACAAACTTCATAAGTTTGCAAATCAACAGGTGAAGAATCTGTTGCAACATAAATCTTTGAATTTATATCAAACAAAAAGGATTTTTCAATTTTAGAATGTTGAACAAGATTATCCAACAGATTCTCTAAAGATGGTAATTCATATATCAATTTTTGAACTATTCTTGAAAATGCTTCATATATGGAATGGTCAAAAATGGAAGTTAAATGGAATGAAACTTGAACACCTTCAATTCCCAAATCTAATAATTCATCACCAATTCTTTGCATAATATCTCTTTGGGTATCCAATCTAAAATCTTCACTAAGTCCATCAACTTTATGTATTAAAACCTCAATATGGATTTCTGGGTTTACTTTATAGGCATACTCTATAATCATGGCTAAATTGGTCAATGCATTCAGATATTCATCTTGACTATCAATAACATACACTAATGCACCGACACTTTGGAATAATTTTTCACTATCATATGAAGGTTCGAAATAATTTAATTGACCAGGTAATTCCATAACAGCCAAATCAATCAACGAAGAATAATGCTCTGTGGTTGGCTTTGAGGTGGATTCTAAATACAGAGTGTCTAGAGGTTGCATGTTGTGGAATACCACTTTACATATTGATGATTTACCACCCCTATCAACAAGAATATTAGTACTCAGGTAATCAGAAACACAAGACTCTTTAAATAAGAGACGAATAGTATACAAACCTTCTAAGCCCCATAAGGAGGATTGTGGCACGTTCAGGATCATTTGATGGTTCTGCTATTATCTGTGGTTGCTCCATTGTTGTGATTTGATATTGAGTTCCTAGTTGTTTTACGGATTGTTTCGTTATTAACTCGATAGCTGATGAACTTGAGAGTTAAAATCGTTATAAAAAAAAACATCAAGAATTACATAATCATTTGCGTGCGATAACCAAATATTGAAAATCAAAAAAAAAAAAATCTTAACGAGTTTTCTCTTCAAAATAAAGATTCAATTTACAAGCCAAAGCCATGTCCCAAGATCCGTTTTCTCAGAAAAAGCAACAGGTATTGAAGGAGATAGCAACCACTCTTGGTGATGTTCCTGACTTGTCTCCAAAGGGATCCATCGATGAGCTATGTATTCCGATAATGAACTTGATCAATGCTCATCAAGACATGGTTACTACATCATCATGTTCAGGAAGAGTTAGTGTATTTGTCGAAGGAGTGAAAATCAAAGATGAATCTCATACCAAAATTGGTGGAAAAGGGGATGGTGGTCATTGGTTATATGTGTCGCATAATAAAAATGACATTGATAATTGGTTTCAAGATAAGTTTGAATACTCAAAAGTTCCATCTAACGAGTTAAACCATTTGAGCACTCGCTATATCCTGTTCAAGTTTGAACCATTAATCCTACATGTTAAGTGTAGGAATTTAGAAACAGCCTCTGCCCTATATACAACTGCGATGGGGTGTGGATTTAGAGAAAGTGGTATTGGTATCAATAATATAGTTGCAATCAGAATATCTTTGAAGCTAGATATACCCATCGGGTATTATAATGAAACCAATGATAAATATGTTGCATTTGTTGACGAAAATTATTTGAAAATCGTCACCCAATTATCACTTGATAGATTCAATGAAAATGAAAAGAGATTGAATATGCTTTACGATGCTATCTCCAAAATGGAAGTTCACGCAAAAACACCTTCAAATCAAGAGACAAAAGAGGAAAGAAGAGAGAGAAAGAGGAAAGAGGGACTAGAGAGACAGAAGCAAAAGCAACAAGCACAAGAACAACCTCTTGGTGAATGAATAAATGCATAGTTAACATTTTGTATTGTAGGCATTTTGCGGGTGACACATACGGCGTGCCCTTCACAATCTTTTTTTTTTGGAAACCATCGAATTGAAGAAAAAAAACTAAACCTAAAGTGACAAAATGAGCTGTTGAATCGTTGAAATTAATTGTGAACTTCAAGATGTCTGATAACACTGAAAAGTTACAAAACTTGTCAATTGACGAACAAAAACCGGAAGGTACAACAGCCCCAGAAGCTGCAACTGAACCAGTTATTTTAGGGTATGTCTCAAAGCTAAGAATTATAAGGGAACCAAATGACTAACCTAGTTATGCTTTTAGTGAAGATGGTCAACCACTTTCAAAGAAAGCTTTGAAAAAACTAGAAAAAGAAAAGGAAAAAGAACGTAAGAAGAAAGAAAGAGCTGATCAATTAGCCAAAGAACAAGCTGAAAAAGCTGCTAAAGCCGCCAATGATCCAGCTAAAGAAAACTATGGTAAATTACCATTAATTCAATCAACTTCAAGATCTGGAATTAAAAGAGTTAAATTTGAAGATTTATCAGCTGCAAATGATGGTGAGGAAGTTGTTTTCAGAGCAAGAGTTCATACTACTCGTCAACAAGGTGCCACTTTAGCTTTCTTAACTTTAAGACAACAATCTGAATTGATTCAAACCTTAGTTAAAGCCAATGGTGAATCAATTTCTAAACAAATGGTTAAATGGGCCGGATCAATCAACTTAGAATCCATTGTTGTTGTTCATGGTGTTGTTAAAAAAGTTGATGAATTGATCAAATCAGCTACTGTGCAAGATGCTGAAATTCACATCACCAAAATTTTCACTATTGTTGAAACTCCTCAACAATTACCAATCTTAATTGAAGATGCCACTAGATCCGATGCTGAAGCTGAAGCCGCCGGTTTACCAGTTGTTAATTTGGATACTAGATTAGATGCAAGAGTTATTGATTTGAGAACAACCACTAATCAAGCTATTTTCAAAATCCAAGCTGCTGTTACTTCATTATTCAAAGAATTTTTACAAAAGCGTAAATTTACTGAAATTCATTCTCCAAAATTATTAGGTGCTCCTTCAGAAGGTGGTGCTAATGTTTTTGAAGTTACTTATTTCAAAAATAAAGCTTATTTAGCTCAATCTCCTCAATTATATAAACAACAATTGATTGCTGCTGATTTCGAAAAAGTTTTTGAAGTTGCTCCAGTTTTCAGAGCTGAAAATTCAAATACTCATCGTCATATGACTGAATTTGTTGGTTTAGATTTAGAATTAGCATTTGAAGAACATTATCATGAAGTTTTAGATTTATTATCTGAATTATTTGTTTTCATCTTTAGTGAATTGAAAACTAGATATGCTAAGGAAATTGCTTTAGTTAGAAAACAGTATCCAGTTGAAGAATTTAAATTACCAAAAGATGGTAAAATGGTTCGTTTACATTTCAAAGAAGGTATTGAATTATTACGTACTAAAGGTGGTAGAACTGATATTGAAGAATTTGAAGATTTAAGTACAGAAGATGAAAAATTGTTGGGTAAATTGGTTCGTGAAGAATATGACACTGATTTTTATATTTTAGATAAATTCCCATTGGCTATTAGACCATTCTATACCATGCCAGATCCAGAAGATCCAAGATATTCCAACTCTTATGATTTTTTCATGAGAGGTGAAGAAATTTTATCAGGTGCTCAACGTATTCATGATCCTGAATTATTAGCTGAAAGAATGAAACATCATGGGTTAGATCCTAACCATGCAGGTTTGAAAGATTATGTTGATGCTTTCACTTATGGTTGTCCTCCACATGCTGGTGGTGGTATTGGTTTAGAACGTGTGGTTATGTTCTACTTGGACTTGAAGAATATCCGTCGTGCTTCATTATTCCCTCGTGATCCAAGAAGATTACGTCCATGAGTTTATCAGTATTTTTAGAAATATATGGCCTCCAATATCCGCGAAATGTAGGACTTTTATTTAGCCACTGCAAGACTCCAAATTCCCATTTCAGGCCATGGCAAACGCCGGTAATCAACTCTCCCGTATTCCACCTGGATCCAAGAACCTGACTCAATAAAATCATACAATTGTTCAACCATCAACTTTTCTTGATTGTTGTCTAGTGCGCCATTTTGCACCGGCTTTCCAATCCCACACGCTTAATTTTGACAAAGCCGCGTTTTCGCGAACAATTCAATCCCAAAACTTTTTTTTTCCGAGTGTTTGAGTTTTGACTTTGGCCCTTTTACATAGAAACCAAAGCTTTGGCGTTTAGGAACAAAACACATTTCCATCAGGGGAACTTTGAGTTAAATCACAATTGATTATAATCCCAGAGAACCAGAACAATTACGAGAGGTTGTATTGCAGGCTAATCAGCACAGTGTTGTTTTGGAATTTGAACATTCCCGCTAAAGGAAAAGAGAATTAGCTTAACCCCCTCAAGAGGACAAAGGTTACAATTGTTTACAAATCAGCAAATTACATTGGTATAAGAAGAGGTGTCGTTGCTGGTTGAAGACCCAGAATCATTGTTGACCATAACTTGTGTTTGGGTAAAAAAATGTCTTCGTCTGTTACACCTGATCCAGCAGTGGCCAATTCACCAGTCAAGAATAGTACTGATGAGTTGAGGGATTCTAGAGAATCAAGCGTCAAACAACAAACAAAACCAATTGATACAGTTTCAGTGATACATGAATACAGAAGTAACAAGACCAACATCTTGAATTTGTATCTGGGTGATACTGTTTATGTACTGAGCAAATCAGAATCAGGATGGTGGGAAGGTGTTATCTTTACAAATAATGGAACTCTTAGGGGCTGGTTCCCAAGTTCTTATACAAAAAGTTTGATGACAAGTTTTGAACAACAGCAACAACAACAGCAGCAACAGCAACAACCAACATTACTGTCAGTTTTGAAACAAAATCTCACTGATGAAATCAATAAACCAAGAAAAAATAGTAGTGTTAGTTTTGCCAGTTCAGAACATAGTAACCATTCAGAATCAAACGTAACACGGACTCAAAATTCATCCATTGTGGATAATCCTTCAAGATTACCTAGTGCTGATAATATCAATATCGTTAGTGCCCAAGAGGCTGAATCAATCTTTAACAGTACTGGTAGTTCAAATGTTCCAATATGGATTCCACAAGCAACATCAGAAGGACAAATCATTTATTACAATTCAGAATTAAATATTTATTGCAAAGAGCTGCCTTATATTGAGACCCCAGATATTGATGAAAGTACAAAGTTTTCAATCCCAACTAAAGATCAAGATCCTGCTCCTTTATCAACAGTGAATTTAAGTCAAGTTAATCAAGAAAGAACAAACATCAAGAGTAGACCTTCAGCTTTAAGTTATGAAAGAAAAGAAAGTACAAAATCAAAATCCTCTGTCCCATCCAACACAACAGTTCATCCATGGAATACTTCATTATATTGTCAGCCTGATCTATTTTATTATGACCCAACAGATATAAAAACTTGGTCCGGATTGAGAGATGCATTCATCTATTTTCTTCAATTAACAGTTGATGCTCTTCAAAAGAAAATTGGTGTTTTATACTATACTTATTTCAACATTGCTTCAAGATTAGGTGTCTTGATTAATTTAGCTACAAGATTAGCTCAACATGACTTGCAAAAATCCGGTTATCATAATAGAGTCCAAAGAAGATTGAAAAAAATTTCATCATCAATAGCTCAAGTTGGTATCAATGGTAATCTTTATTTAACTGCCTCTTCAACTGAAGGGTCAAATTCTTCATCTGGTTCAGCATCTGATCGGAATTTTTCAACAAGTACACAAGATACAATCAAACCATCAAGCTTTGTTGATAGTGATGGTTCAAATGGAACTTCAGATTTTAAAACTGTCAACTATTTGAATCAAGTTGAAACTGAAGTTGATGTTTTGAAAAAAAATGCCATATCTGTTGTTAAGGTTTTCATGCAAATATCTTCAAATCAATTTAATGATCAAAATTATTTACCTCAAGTTTATCCAAGATTTTTATCAGGTTTTTTTTCAGGTGGTAATTGGTCAAACCCCTTCGTACCAGAACCAAATGATCCATTTGCAGGTAAAGAAATTGCAAAATCTTTACATCATAAAAGGGTTCCAAAAACAATCTTGAATAAGGAAACTCTTGATAATTTGAATAATAGAAAAAACCAATTACAAGAATTATTGGAAGAAGTATTGGTGATTATGGAGAGTAAACCTAATACCCAATCAAGAAATGTTGAAATTTTATCCAAGATTTATAAAACTTTGGCGTATTCAACCAAATATATTGATTTAATTGAAGGGTTTGATTTTTCAGTTTTCTTAAGACCAAGAAGAAATTCAACTCCAATTGGTGATTTTGATCCTTCAAATATTGTTTATCCCATATTGACTGAATTTTTTGAATCAAAACAAGACTTGCGTGATATTTTTGTGACCATTATAATGGACTCTCAAAGTTTGACATTGCCAGATCCAACAGTTTTCAGATCAATCAAGGAAGATTCACTAGATTCTTCAAATAAATTTGCAAATGTGGAACCAGAAAAAACTGCAAAAGCCTTGGAAACAGAACTACAAAAACTAGATGTTGATAATTATGATGATATTTCTATCAATCCAGATAAGACATTGGGTAATTCTATTATCAAGAGTTTCAAATTGTTGGAAATATCTTTGATTCTTGTGCAACAGTTGGTTACTGAAAGAGAAGCTATTTTGAGTTATGCAACCAGAGTTATGAATGATGATTTTAATTATGAGATTTTGGTTTCGGAAAGAGAAGATAGTACATTGACAACTGATGAGTATGCCTTACCTGCAAGTAATACTGATAGACATGCTACAAAAGACGTACCATGGTATTTGGAAGCTGAAGAATATAATCTGATCTTTACAAACAATGATACCGTTAAAGGTGGTACCAGAGAAGCGTTGATTCAAAGATTAACTCATCATGATTTACTTGATGCTTCGTTCAACATGACATTTTTATTAACTTTCAGAAGTATGTTCAAAACAACAGATTTGATTAAACAGTTGATCAAAAGATTCAATATTCAACCACCAGAGAATTTAGCTTATGAAGAATATACCACTTGGGTTGAAAAAAAGTCATATCCAATAAAATTGAGGGTTGTTAACATTATGAAAACCTTGTTACAAAAATATTGGAATTCAAACTATAATGAGCCAGGTTTATATGACATTTGGAGTTCATTTGTTGATACCCTTGTGGAACAGAAATTCCCAAGTTCTGAACAATTATCAAAAGAATTGAAGGTTAAGTTGTTGGATGGAGAACCTAAATCAGTAGCTCCTGCTGAAGACAAAGAAGAAAAAGTGTTCAGCTCCAAAGTTAAAAAAATGAAAATTACTGACTTGGATTTCAATGAGTTTGCTAGACAATTGACCGTCAAAGAATTTGGATTATACACACAAATTACACAAATTGAATGCTTGGATAAAAGTTGGAATAGCAAGTATGGTTCATTAGGTGGGTTTACTCATATACAAAAATTTATTGCCAATTCAAATGATTTAACCAACTTTGTCTCAACAGAGGTTGTCAATCATAATGATATCAAAAAGAGAGTAACCATTATCAAGTATTTTGTTAATGTTGCTGAAAAATGTCGTTCTTTGAATAATTTCTCATCAATGACAGCTATTATCTCAGCTCTTTATTCATCACCAATTCACAGATTGAAGAAAACTTGGAAGTCTGTCCCAGAGAAAACTTTGACGCTAATGAATAAGATGAATGATTTAATGAATTCAACAAGAAACTTCAGTGAATACAGAGAACATTTAAGATTCATCCAAGATCAACCTTGTGTGCCATTCCTTGGTGTTTATTTATCAGATCTAACATTCACAACAAATGGTAATCCGGATCATTTACATGGTGATAATAAGTTGGTTAACTTTGCTAAGAGGTCAAAAACTGTTGAAATTTTAAGAGAAATATCAAGATATCAATCGTTGCCATATAATTTGAGAAAAAATGATGAATATCAAGACTATATTTCTTACCATTTATCCAACCTGATGACTATTGATGAACAATATAATAGGTCACTTGTTCTTGAACCAAGGGTTAGAGCTTCACAAGCCTTAAACGGAAAAGAAGGAAGTGTTTCTAGTAATACTTATGGACAAAAACCAGGATCTAGGTCAGCAAGAGTCTTTCAACATTTTGTTAACAGCTATTCTGTTTACGCCCCAGGATCATAATGGTATAGCATTTTTAATTAACTTAGTTTTATGATTTCTCGTAGCCAATAGCCGATATACTCTTCAATAGCCGATGATTACGTGAGCAAAACTTAGGCTCGCGAAATCTGATCGTGTTTTTTTTGGAAGTTTTGGATTACGTTACAGGAAGATCAAATAGTTATTTCAATCGTAAACAGCCGTTAGATCACAACAATCATATCCATTCTTTTGCTGCTAGTCAACCAATTCTGATTCTCAAGATCCTATAAACTTATAGATCAGTGATACTTTGTGGCAGAGCTCTTATCAGATCAGAATTATCAACAGATTAACTTAAAGTGAAGGTTTCTAGAAGCCATGTTCTCCAAGTTTAATCAATTGAGGCAGAACTTGACTGATGAATTGAGCAGAACAAGCTTAGACGAAAATGAGTCGCCTCGTCAGAAAACAAGCAAACCAATTGATGATGGTGACATCGACATCAACAGTACACCCGAAGCTGAAGAAACTGAATCCAAGGTTGAAATGACAACACTTCCTCCAGAGATTAAAGGAAAACTAAGAAAGTTTGCTAAATATGAAGCCAAATATCCACTTTTACTGGATGCTTATAAGAATGAAAAGTCTAAAAATGAACAGGTGATTAAATTTGAGAAGATTCTTCAGGAGAATACACCGTGCTCCAGTATACAGGAAGGAGAAGCCTTAGTTGAGTATCTTAATAGTTTAAGCTTGAAGAACACAATGTTGAATGAAGAATTGAGAAAAATCAGCAAAGCTAATACAGAGGAACAATCGGCCAAAGTTAAAGAACTTGAAGATAGAGTTTTTGAGTTACAACGTGAACTTGAAGAAAATCAACAACCAAAAGAAAGCTCAGCAAACGATGAGACGACTGTATCCGAGGAAAATGACGACCTTGTGAAAAGACAGGATCTTGAAAGAGCCGAAGCCAGAGTTGAAGAGTTGATGCATGAAGTTGAACAGCTCAAAAATGACAATGTGAAGCTCCACAATATTGTTTCTGATACAACCGAAACTGAAAGTTTGAAAAAAGAAAGTGAAAAAGCTTCTGTTGAATTGAATGAACAAGCACTGAAAATTTCATCACTTGAAAAAGAGCTGGACTCAAAAAGGGAATCTCTCAGTCAATTGTCAAATGAGAAGGAAGAGTTATCGAAGAACTTGTCAGAGTTTGAAAAAAAGTTGAGTGATCTCAATGAAACCAACGAAGATCTAAAGAAAAGTACAGCAGCTCTTGAGGTTCAGCTTGAGGGTAGTCAAGAAAAGCACAATAATGAAATAAAGAACTTAAATGCTAAGCTGGAAGAAAATAAATCTTCAGTTGAGGAGAAGTCAGCTGAAATTGAAAGGTTAACAAATGAATTGAAAACTTCTGATGAAAATACCATAGCTACTGAAGAGTCTGTGACTGAAGCTCAATCAACTGTATCAGCAAGTAAAAAGAATAAGAAGAAGAAGAAGAAAGGTGGTAAAAGTAGCAATCAACAGCAGCCTGAAACATCAGTCAAAGATACTGAGCAGTTACCAGCCAATGAAACATCAAGCGATGATACTGCCATCAGCTCTCTTCAGTCCAAATACGATACATTGTTGAAAGAGTTTGAAGATCTAAAATCCAAAAAGGAAGAATCAAATGGAGAATCGGGTGATGTTGTCAAGATCAAAGAAGAATTTGAACAATTGAAACAAGATTACGAAGCTTTACAAAAAGAGAATGAGAAGAGCAAGTCCAACTTGAAGATATCAAATGAAGAAATTGAGAGTATCAGAGATATGCTTAGAGACGTTGGTGATGATCTAGTGACTTCAAGAGACGAACTTAAAGAAATTAAAGAAAAATATGAGACATTGGTGAAAAGCTCAGAACAATCAAAGGAATGTTCAGGTAAAGAAGAAGATCTTGCAGAAAAGTTGAGCACAATAGAATCCCAAAAAGTTGAGTTAGAGGTTTTGAGAAAACAACATTCACAAGCCGTTACAGATTATGAAAAAGAAAAAGCTGAAAATAGAAAACTTGTTACAGTTACTCAGGATGAGAAGAAGGAGTTGGAGGGAAAAGTATCTGAACTAGAAAATAAAATATCAGAGCTGACTACTGGACATCAAAAATCATTGAAAGCTGTTGAAGATGAACTAGCAACATTGAAGAAAGAAAAGGAAATTCTAGAAAAACAAATTAAAGCATTGCACTCTGAGAAGTCTGAGTTCGCTACCAAAATAACAAAGTTTCAAGAAGAATTAAAAGATTTAACAAAATTGAGAAAATCGGAAACTTTTTTGAAAAAAGAATTAGATTCCGTTCAACTGAATTTGACTCATAAAGAAAAAACCATTGGATATTTTGAGAAACAAGTTAAGGACTATGAGATCAGTAAATGTCAATTATTGGATGAGATCAATAAATTGAGAGCTGCCAATAAAGATTTAGGATCTAAAATAAGCTTATTGAATGAACAAAGATCTAAATTGAATCAGGAAAAAGTTAAATTGAATGAATCATTGCGTGATATTAAAGTTGAACTAGATGAAAAGGTAGAGGAGAACAAAAGATTGACTGATAAAGCCGATGTTTTGCAAGATAAATATTCAGGGTTACAAGAGATGAAATCTACCTCAAATGATCAGATTGAATCAATAAAGAAGCAATGCGAAGAACTAAGCATCAATTCCAAAGAGGCTCGTCAAAGAGTTGAACAATTGGAGGAAGAGTTGAGTGAAAGTCGTGCAATGTTGCAAGAAAGAACACGTGAAGCAAGCACAATCAGAAGGCTTTTACTTGAAAGTGAAGAAAACCAAAGTTCAAAGATTAAAGAGTTGACATCTAGGGTTGAAATGTTAACTGAGGAAAAAGATAGACTGCAATCTGATAACACAATTGTATTGACTAGAAAACAAAGAGAACTAGAGGACGCTCAATTCAAGAACCAGGAACTAGAGAAAATCATAACTGGATGGGAGTCTAGAGAAGAAGGGTTGACTAAAGAGATTAAAGAATTGAAGAGCAGCACAAATAGATTAGAGTTGGAAAGAAGATCATCAACTTCAAGCTCAGATGAATTGACTAGTGTTATCTCAAAACTTAAAGATTCTCTAAGTGTTTCAGAAAAGAAGATCCGTGAATTTGAAAGTTTGAATCATGTTTTGAAAAAATTGAATGAAGAACTAACATTAAAATTGGATAGATTAACAAAAAATTATAAACTAGTTTCCTCACAATTGAACTCGTTGAAGGAAAAGTCAAAACAATCAACCTCTTCACCATCAGCAAATGCATCACCTATGGCATCACCAGTCTCAACAAGGTCAAATTCAGTTGTTTCTAATTTGAATTCAGTCTCTGAACATCAACAAGTTTCATCTTCAGGTAACTCAAATGGATCTATTGAAGAAAAAACAGCATATGTTAAAAATGTTTTATTAGGATTTTTGGAGCATAAAGATCAACGACAACAGTTACTACCAGTTATCTCGATGCTGTTACAATTGAATAAGGCTGACGAGAAAAGACTATTACTTGCGTTGAAATGATAGAACTATGGTAATATTATAAATGTTGATATGGCTAGAAGGTAGAATTACATCCTAACTGCCATTAATATTGACCAGCTGCATGTAATTAAAATTGAGAACGAATTAGAATTAAGTAAATTTCATTACAACGTCGATGAAATGGATGTAATTTGTAAGAGGTATTACGTGATATGGTTTAACGAATTATATAATTATATTGGCTTTCTGGACAGGCGGCCAAGTACATGCGATGCTAGTGTTATCTCGCTTTTGACGTGTTTTCTTATCTAAATGTGTCGTCGATCATGCTCAGGCACACAACTCTTCTAGACCCTGTGCTACAAATGCTTTAATGAAAGCTAACCGTCTAAAACGGAGAGTTGAGTAGAGTATATACCTTGTCTGTAGTGGGCTATACGTCTTTTGCTGGGCTGTGAGCAACTTTACACTGGGCCCAACAGCCAACAGCTAATGAACGAACTCAGCCCAGCCCCCAGTTCCGTTCCTTCTAGAGAAAAGCCACCCTGTGCGTGTATCGACCGTTTCCTGCCTGAGCAAAGTTGCCAAAATAACGACCACGTCAAACCATCATCATCACATTTTGGAAAAAAGCATCAGACTGACACTTTTCATTCTATTTACTGAACCTTTTACCACTTACAAACAAAGCCCTTCTCAAAGTATTTCAAAAGTATCAGAGTACACACGCTACACTGGTCCCCGATATAATACTCTTGCTTCTATTGCTGCCGCTGCTTCTGTTCGCTTTGAACGCCATTGGACACAAACACAGCTGATCAGATCACAATTCATAGTTATTGTTCGGTTTTTCTGGATTCCATCAAAAATTAACAAGTTTAGATAGTTGAAGTGGTATATCTTTGGATTCGAAGGCTATCAACCAATATCAGATCAAAGGTCATAGACATTTCCCGTTTTGCCAAAATGAGTGACCACATGAATGTTCCTTCAGACTTTACAGATAACATTACAATCTCGCCGCCACTTGATCAAAAACTAGAAGAAAACAGTCCAATTTCCAAAGACAATAGTAATTCTGCTAAAACAATCCCTTCAAATCAATCAACAGCAAATGCAACTTATGCTTCATCAAATGCCAACTCCCCAGCATCAGAAAGTTTGCTTCGCTCAAAGACCAATTCAACAACATCAACTACATCTTCATCGAATTCTATCAACTTATCAAGAACCAATAGATCAAAATCCATCAATCAGCAGCATGTTGATTCCATACCTAGAGGAAGACAGCATATCAAAATCCCAAATATGAATACTCATAATGCAAGATCCCCATTGAGGTCGAGCAACTCTACTAGATTAAGTACAAGCAGAACACCTCAAAATTCGTTGTACCCTCAAAGCCAAAGACGCGGGTCAATTGCAAGCATTGGTGATACTTCTGACTTCTCTACTAACTTGGGTATGCCATACACTTTGAATATGAATGGAAGTTCTTCAACTCTCAATAATGTTCCAACTACTGCTACATCCGCTGCTGCTGTCAATAGAATACCCCCTCCACCAGGCCCACTGTCAACAGCAAGCTCTCCAAGAAACAGTTTTTCCAGTACTTTCAATTCCGCTTCGATAGGGGATGGATCATTCTCACATAGAAGATATAGTGATAATTCTGCTACTAGTAGAAAACCAAGCACAGAAGAAGTCTTTGATCTGATGGAGCGTGAACAAGATGCCATTGTTTTGAAACTTATGAGGGAGATTCAACAATTAAAGGAAGACAATAGAGCTTTACGTCAAACTATCAACCAGTTGACAAGCCCAATAAGTGCTTCCCATTCCAGATCCCAGTCAAGATCAAGTTTAGATTCTTCCAGGAGAAGAAACTCTTCGCTTTACACTGATGATGAATTGATTTCTGTGTCAAGCTCAATAAGTAACACACCAAGATCTACACACACTAATTTGGCTGTTCCTGTTACTTCATCAAGAAAACCGAGTATGAACTTGTCAAGTGCCATTAATAGTAACCAGAATGATAACATCAACCACAATCACCACAACAAATCCAATTCAAATCCAGAAAACTTTGATAGTTTCAGGTCCAATTCTTCTACTATTAATATGAATGAATGAGCTTGCACAATTCCTATTTTAGTTCTAGTTGTTAAGCTTGTTGGTCATATTTATTTATCTGTTTGGTTTATGTTTGTTCAGAATAAGAAGGGGTTTAGAAAAGAGATTGATATGAATAGTCGATGTGGATTAGATTACAATATCAGCTACATGAAGGTGTTTACAATTATTTGAATTCAAGGTCAAAAGTAAAAAAAAATTATTTTGAAATGTTTACATTCTTGAATACATGAAGCTGCGTGATATGCTCTTACAGATGTGGTTCACTGGTTGCATACATGCCGTGTAGAAGCTTACTTTGCAAGTTGTTAGCTAGTGAGTATCAGTGTCTTTCCAGTACTGCTTGGATTTTCAATTTTCGAAATTGTTTTTGTGTCAATCAACATGATTTTTGATTTCCATTGGGCGCCTGTCAAAACAAAACATTTGGCACAAAGCCATTAAAAATTTGAAGTTTCACAATTAAAGTTAAAAAATAGAAATTCTACCCTTTAGAAGTTTCCCCAGGACATTAGCTACTTTGATTTATATTGCTTCACATCTCACTATCCATTCGAAATATCATCATTCACACTTTATTATGGTTGTTATTGGTCACGTCACAAACTTGGTGGCATATATCACTATCTTATCAACAGTTCCATCCATTTCTTTGTTTAGTGCTGCTTTAAGAGTCCCAATTTCACAAAGGCTTCAATCTAAAGTGCGTCAAGAACAACTAATAGCAGTTACAACACCAGATCAAGTCAAGTCTAATAGTGATGATCAAGATGTTGATTCAGCTGGGTTTTCAAAAGCTAAGTCTCCTGTTGGCTGGGATCCAAATATTCAAGCTCAAGAACCTTTCCCAAAATGGTTGTCTGATTTTACTGGTTTGAAAGAATGGCCAGGTTTGGAGCCACCTTATATTCCATTGGATTTTATTGATTTCAAGAAGATTTCTAAATTTCCTGTTCATGACCAAGGTGTTTGTCCTCAAAGTAGAGATAGCTGTTCTTATGATTGTTATAAATGTGTTGAACCTGATGATGTTTACAGTTGCAAAAAACTTTCTCAGAGTTTTGATGATGGTCCAAGTCCTGCTACTCCAAAATTATTGAGTCATTTGAAGCATAAAACAAGTTTTTTCACATTAGGAATTAATGTTGTCAGATTTCCTGAAATTTACAGACAAGTCAGAGATGAAGGTCATTTATTGGGGTCTCATACTTGGTCTCATAAATATTTACCAGGATTAACAAATGAACAAATCATTGCACAGGTTGAATGGTCGATTTGGGCAATGAATGCAACTGGTAACCATTTACCAAAGTGGTTTAGACCACCATATGGAGGAATTGATAATAGGGTCAGATCAATTTTACGTCAATTTGGTTTACAAGCTGCTCTTTGGGACTATGATACTTTTGATTGGCAATTGATGTCAAATCAAAGAACAGAATCAGAAATCATTAATGAAGTTAAGAAATGGAAAGCCAAATCAAACAAACCAAATGGATTGATTCTTGAACATGACGGCTCAATCAAAACTGTTAATGTCGCTCTAGATATCAATAACGTTATTGGATCAGATCAGTTAACTGTTGCTCAATGTATTGGTGGTAATGATTATTTAAAAGTTTACCCAGAATCTTCACATGAGTATTGAAGACATAATTTCCTAGTTTTGACAGCGGTTTATACATGATTAAAAACCTATTCTATAATTGAACTTAGTTTTAATCTTTTCCAATTTTTGATCCAGTTGTATATTGGGATGATATTTCATCTCCCTTCGGCGTCTTCTCATACTGTAACATATTTATAAATGATCAATTAGTTTTTGCAAGCACAATGTGTTGGCAGCTAGTTCATGAACTATCTAGCTTAGTACGTCAGCTGCTGCCATAATTTTATGATTAGTAGTGCTATGAATATTTATGTGGTGCAGTATGACGCTAGCGCGTTATCGTCTTTTGAAATTAAACTTTTAATGAACGTTCGAATACATGTAAATATTTAGATGTATGTTTGCAGTAATTATTATACGTACGCAAGCCTGTAACCATGACGCGGTAGCTAATTAGTCTCCAACTAGAACTGCATCAACATAGAGGCTAGTGCAGTAGTACTAGTGACCACGAAAACTTCGACGCAGCTAGCTGGTAATTTTATTATGATTGGATGTGAAAGTACAAAATTAATGATGAATGAAGCAATTAGAATTAGACACTGGTGTATAAAATCATTGTATACCAATGGAAATTTCAAAAACCTGTCATATACTTGATACTTCGTCGATTAGTGTACTGTCTTGCCTTACTGCCGAATCCTTCGTGTCAATTGTAAAAAATCAGCGTGCACCTATCAAAAAAATGCAAAAGATTAATATTGAAGGATGCGAGGTTCGAACTCGCGCGGACAAACGTCCAGTAGATCTTAAGTCTACCGCCTTAGACCACTCGGCCAACCCTCCTTTTTACAAAATTTCAAATTTTGCTCATGTCCACACGAAAATAAATTTGGTAAGGGCACCCGAAAATATCGATCAAGTGCTTATACATCATTTGAATTTTTATTTGCAAGGAGCAAGAACAGAGATAGAACTTTGAAGATATCTTGCTCCAAAGAAGTGGTCCAAAGGTAGTGCATTATATTATGAGCTAGTATTGTTAAGTATATTATAGCAGCGCCAGGCGCTGCTTATTAGATGTGCATCCATCTCAGCAGCTTGTACTCAGTATCATGCAGAAATATTGTTCAATATTTCAGGTAAGCTGTTCAATTATTTGGATGTCCAGCGTATTAGACCTAGAATATTTACAATATTAATATTTATAACATACACTAGTACGTCCAGCAAAATAGAGCTTGATTTGCAAGTAACTGATTTCGAATCAATTCCGGCTACAATAATTCATCATCTTCTTATTTATCTATCATTAACAACGACAAACGAGAAATTAAGTTCATCTTCATAAACAATAATGTACACAGAGTGTTTTCATTTATATAATTTTGCCAAAGAAACTTGAGCTTCATCGTTTTTATTGAGAACTTTAGCAACAGCTAATTCAAAATCTTCTTGAGTGACATGAATTCTTCTTTCTCTTAACGCATACATACCAGCTTCGGTACAAACACCTTTAACATCCGCACCTGAACAACCATTCATTTTTTCAGCAATTTTTCTCAAATTAATACCTCTAGTTAAATTCATAGCTCTTGAATGAATTCTAAGAATTTCTGCTCTAGCAGCAACTGTTGGAGGTGGGAATTCAATTTTTCTATCAATTCTTCCTGGTCTTAATAAAGCAGGATCCAAAATATCCAATCTGTTTGTTGCCATAATGATTTTGATGTCTTTTGAATTCTCAAAACCATCCAATTGGTTTAATAATTCCAACATTGTTCTTTGAACTTCTGAATCACCACCACTTGAACCTTCAACTCTTGAACTACCTATGGAATCAATTTCATCCATAAATATAATTGAAGGAGCATGTTCTCTAGCCATAACGAATAGCTCCCTAACCATTCTTGAACCTTCACCAATATATTTTTGAACTAGTTCAGAACCTGAAACTCTTATAAATTTACATTCGGTATGATGAGCAACGGCTCTTGCTAACAATGTTTTACCTGTACCTGGTGGTCCATATAAGATAACACCTTTTGGTTGTGCTATACCTAAACTTTCAAACAATTCTGGATGTTTAACAGGTAATTCGATAACTTCTTTAATTTCTTTGATTTGTTTAGTTAAACCACCAACCATATCATAAGTTGAATCTGGAACTTTTTCAACCATCATCAAACTAACTAATGGATCAACTTTATTTGGTAAGATTTTATGCAAAGTGTATGAATCTGATTTTAAACAAACTCTTAAAGATGGTTTGATATCTTTAATATCGATTTCTGGAGATAAATTAACAATATATTTACCTTCTGGATGGATCTTTACCAAGATTTTCTTTTTACTTAATGCTTTAACAACTTCACCGACATAAGAGCCAGGTTCTTGAAGCAATTTTAACTCATCTTTTAGTAACCTAACTTTTGCGTTCAAAGAATTTCTTTGAGCCTCAAGACGACGTAAATTTAAAGTCTTCGCATTGATTTGAATCTCTGTATCTTGTATACGTTGTTCTAAGAACTGTTTAAAGAGTTAGTGACCTGATTTGATTGAATTCAAATGAAACATGTAACTTACTGGTTTGATACCACCTTCGTGAACAACAGCTGCCATTGTGAATTGAGTTATGCTTGGATAGTTCAAACTTGTAGAATCAAAAACAGTAGTAGTAATAACGTCAATTGTTTTGCCATCGAAGATTTCAAAAATCAACATAGAGGGCCATTCCGGTAATCAGTTTCACGTGAAAGCCCTCGGATCTTTTCTCTCTTCAAGTTTATTACTGAAGAAAGCGACTTCTTGATCAAAACAGATTGCTTCCGTTTGAGAAGTGAAGTGTTGTGGATACATTTGAGGCTATCTGTGAAGAAGACTAAACCGGTTCCTGTTTCAATGAGATCCTTCAAGCTTGTTTTTTGGCTCAGCTTCTTGGGGTTAGCAATTGCGTATGAACAATTTTGCAGATGTCAATGTGATTCCAAGTACAAAATTATACCGTTACAAGATCAAGGGTGCAATACCTGTACTAAAAACTATTGCTTGTCGTTGAACCTTGAAGAGTGCAAAGATTTCACTGAGGATGAAGTGTTAACAACCTGTTTCCGTAAGTTTTTGATTCTATTCTTATTCCCCTTTTTTTCAGCACTAACGTTATGACTTTACTTCAGAAAGAGAATCAACAAAGGATCAACTCATAGTATACACTTTCATATTGGTAACATTCGGTCTGCTGTCATATGCAATTGTTGGGAGACCATTGTTGATCAAATACAGAGTAAGTATTGATTAATTTAGACAGAAAAACGTCGAGCCAAATCGTGAAATAATGGACCAAAAACTAACATCGTGATCCCAATCTAGAGACAGAATGGCAACTCCATTTGAAATCTTTAATATTTCACAAGTCAATTGGTCAAACTGTGTAATTCTGTGTATTCTTATTAACGTATTATCATGAGATTATACCCAGTCCCCAGTTTTACGCAAAGGTCTGTGTAAAATCCAGCACCATTTTTTTTCCAAAATTTGGCGACGCGACAGAAATTCTTCACAATGAGCCCAATTAATCAGATCTTGCGTACTTTAAATAGAGCACCAGCTTCCAAAAAAAATACAAGAAACAGCTGTTGCCGTGGTCTCGTAGTAATCCAAGCTCGATCTACACAGAACCACACCAGGTTAATTACAGAGAAATCTCCCTGTTAAACTCGCGAATAGCTAGTGCTACGATTACATAAGAATCGCTGTTTTTTCTGATTTTTTTCATTTTTTGTTGAAGGTTTAAAAAAAAAGAGGAAAAAAAAACTTGGTTAGAAACAAAAATTGAACATCAAATCTTCAAAAGGTTCAAAAGATACTCTAGAAGTCTTTTGATTTGGCCCTAATTCCTATTTTCAGTCTATTCTTAGTTGCTAAGGATTATCTTGTTGTCTATTTTTGGCTTCCAAATCACAAGTGAATTGGATCATTAAACTGAAAATTGCAGGCAAAGAATAAGAACTAGAATATAATACGACTTGAAGGCAATTACACCAATTACAAGGAAAAGAGATCCAAAATCATGTCTCAAATGAATCCAAATGGCCAGTCCAATAATGGCTACCATCCCAACAAGAGAAACGTAGGCCATAGAGGGGGTCAACCATATAATCCATATGCTACTCAAGGTTACGCTCCAGATTACATGGGTGGCTATCAACAAGCTTACTCCTACTATCCTTCTGGTCAACCGTACTATGCTGGTCAAGCTGGCTATGTTGCCGTTCAGCCAGTCTATTCACCAAGACAAGCTCAAGATTACAATAATGGCCAACATCAGTTGAATATAACTACCGCCAGTGGTGACAAAGTTGATTTAAAGAACTTGAACTCAACCGTTTTTACTCCAAAACATGCTAATGCATCTTTGAACAGATCTTCTGTGTCTACCCGTAAAGCTGCAACACCATATACTCATCAAAGGACCCCTAGCGCAGCATCTAGTACAAGTGGAAACAAAGAACTTGATGCCATGAGAGAAAGTTTTAGACAACAAGTGCTCGCTAGAAAACAAAAGAAAGAAGCCACTGCTTCTCCAACTATAGCAGAAGCAAAACCAGTTGAATTGAAGAAAGAAGCATCACCTGCACCTGCACCAGTTGAAGCCAAACCAAAGACTGCAGATCCAATCAAATCAAAATCTCCTTCACCTGCACCAGTTTCTTCAACATCAGAAAAGAGTGAACAAGATGAAGACACTGTTAGAAAATTCAAAGAATTAGTTGCTGCAAAGAAGAAAACTTCATCAACAGCACCAGAAGTTTCCCCAAAAGCTAATGAAGATAAAGAAATTTCCAACCCTGCTACCGAAGAAGCTAAATCTGTTGAAACTAAATCCGAAGTTCAAACTGCTACTGCTATTGAGGAGACGACACCTCAAGATTTAGTTGGAGAAAAACCAAAGACTGAAGATACTGAATCAGTGAAACCAGAAGAACCTGAAATCATCAAAGAAGAGACAGAACCAGCTGAAGCTTCAAAAGATGACGAAGAATCCAATCAATCTGAAACTAAGGAAGAGGAAAAAGCAACAGCTCCAGAATTTACAATTTCTAAATTATTCGAACAAATAGCAAAAGCTAAAATAATAGAAGATCCTTATAATTTTAAATATCCAGAAGGAAAAACGGCCCCTACAATCAAAGCGGAAATTAAAACCAAGAAATATAGTTATAATCCTGAATTCTTGATGCAATTTGCTGAAGTTACATCTTTACCTTTAGATGAAGCGTTCAAAGATAGATTCAAATTTATTCAAATCAGTGATAAACGTAATGACAGATCATTATCTAAAGGTGGCCCAGGTGGTTTCAGATCAGGCTTTGGTCAAGGTTCAATTTCTGGTATTCAAGGTTCATCATTCTCAAAATCTGGATCATCAAGAAAACAATTTGATTTGAACTCAAGATCCAACTCAAGACAAAACTCTAAAAGAAGAGGCGGCGGTTCTGGTAGAAATGAAAGAAAATCGAACAGAAATAGAGACAGAGATAATGAAAGAGAAAGAGAACCAGAAGTTCCTGCTGAACCTGTAAAACCTTTAGAAAAATCTGCAAACAGATGGATTCCAAAATCAAGATTAGCTAAAACTCAAGAAGTTAAATATGCTCCAGATGGTGTTACTGTTATTCTTTCACCAGAAGATGTCAGTAGAAAAGTTAAATCATTATTGAACAAGTTGACTTTAGAATTTTTTGAAGATATTTCAAATGATATCATCAATATTGCTAATCAATCCAAATGGGAAACAAACGCAGAAACTTTGGGAAGTGTTTTAGAATTTACATTTGCTAAAGCTTGTGATGAACCTCATTGGTCTTCAATGTATGCTCAATTTTGTGCAAAAATGTGCAAAGACATTGACCCAGAGATTAAAAAAGAAGGTGAAATTAGAAAAGATGGTGAACCACTTACTGGTGGTGGTATTGTCCGTAAATTATTATTATCAAGATGTCAAATAGAATATCAAAAAGGTTGGGCTGATAAACTACCAACAAATGAAGATGGTAGTGCTTTAGATCCTGAAATGATGTCTGATGAATATTATGCTGCTGCTGCTGCAAAGAGAAGAGGTTTAGGTTTAATCAGATTTATCGGTCATTTGTTTGTTTTAGGTTTATTATCTGAACCAATTATTTTTGTTTGTTTGAAAGATCAAAGTAAAAATGTTACTGATCCATCAGAAGATACTGTTGAAAATTTGATTCAATTAGTCAAGACTGTTGGTCAAGCATTGGATTTCTCTCCAAATGAAAGAACTAGAGCAACATTTGATGCATTTTTCCAATCTATCCCTGCTATGGCTGAAAAGGCTAAACTTCCATCAAGATTACAATTCAAATTGATGGATCTTGTTGACTTGAGAAAAAGAAGATGGTCTGGTGGTGAATCCGATGCAGGTCCAAAAACTATTACAGAGATTCACGAAGAAGCAGAAAAGAAACAAAGAGATCATGAAAGAGAACAAAAGGAAAAAAGAAATCAACACAGAGGTGATTCAAGATCAAACTCATCAAGAGGTGCTTGGGGTAATAGTAACAGAGTTTCATCAAGTGATATCAAGAATGTTGGTGTTGTTAGAAACTCAAACTCCTCATCAAATTTGGGCCCAACAAATAATTTTACAAGAACTAAATCTCAAAGAAGTTCAAGTAGACAATCATCACAAAATTTGGCCTCAGAAAATCCATCACCTTCACCTGCAAGTCCTTTGAGTGCTAGAGAAAACTCTAAAAAATCTGAACCAGCTGGTAATAGATTCACATTATTACATGAAGATAATCAACCTGAATCAGATGAAGAAGATGAAGATGAACAAGAACATGAAAATTCGGAAGAACAACAGGATATTGAAGATTCAAAGAAAGAGGAAGAGGATTCAAAAGACGAACAAAAAGCTGAATAGATATATTGGTTTTTGTCAAATAATTTATATGCATTCATGTCATTATAATGAAGTTTAATCAAGATTTTTTCTCTGGTTGTTTTAATTGTATTTTTGTTTTTGTTTTCGTCTGAATCACTTATAGGTGGTTTCTTTATGGTTTTATTTGTCTGCTTGTCTCATTTCATCAACTTTTCCTTTATTTTACAGAATCTGAGTGAGATATAAATTGTTCAAGTTGGTGTATGAAAAGAAAAGTTATTTGGGATAGATTTTGGTTTTGTTGTTTTCTCAATGAAAGAAAGATGTGAAAGACAGTTGGGGGGAATTCAAAGAAAAAAAGTCATTTTTTTAGTTAGCATTTTTACTTATCCATTTTTAATTAGTTGACAGGTTATCGTCACTACGTCTATTAGTTTTGTTTTGATCTGTTGATGTTGTTTTATTCGGTAAACATAACTAACGTCAAAATTTTATGGTAAAACACAATATTATATTATATCTTATGTAAATCAAAGCCAAATATGTAGAAGTTGTACTGGTTCACGGAGCAATCAATTAATTATTTTATAATTATTTATATCGCAGGTTGGTTAATGCTAGCAAAACTAGTTGGAATCCTGTAAGCTGTGATGTAAGTTTGTAGAGATGTGATGATTCTTGAATGTTTTCAAACTCTTTGCATAGTTCTGTATAACATTTTGGCGATTTGATTCCATTGCAACCTTGAACTTTGAATGGAATTTGGAGGAGTTTGAAGGTGACAGCTTTATTGGGCTTTGTTGCTGCTGAGAATGTGACTGGTACTCTGTTTCATTTAAATCCAGAGGAGAAGATGCCAGCACAAATTTTTGATTTTCAAAGTCACTAGATTTCATAACTTCCAATGGACTGCCAGGGTCTGAACCATGATGGATCTCCTCGTCGTTATCCAGAGATTCTTGTGATTGTTCTCTGTCTTCTGAGGCATGACCTTCTGGAATGCTTATTGGGGAAGTCCCAACCTTCCACCAGTGGGGTCTCTTTTTCAATTTTTCCTTATACTTGTTATTGAATTGTTGGACTTTACTTATTCCAGGAGATGATATAAAACTTAAGTTGATACCTTGAGGTTCATTACATACATCCACTGCTAATGGATCAGCCACCACGGTGGAATCTGAATTCAATCTTTTCTTTGCGTATGATAGATTGATGTTGTTGGTTGGAATGATTTCAAAGGACTGAAAGTCATCGCTGATTCTTATCTTGTGAGATTTATCAGACGACCAAAACAACGAATGCAACTCACTATATTTGACTCTTGAAGGGAACTTGGTACATGAAGTTGTAGAGCTATCTTCAAGATGTAATAAATAGTGGATATTTTCTCTTAGTGATAAAATCATTTGGTGGAATAAGACAAGAATGAAAAGACAAGTAGATAGTAGACTTGTAATGACTAAAGCCAAATGATTTAAAACAGACACCACGGTGCGCTTCAATTCAAACAAAGTGACAATCAGCAGCACTACTCCCAAGGAATACATCTTCAACACCAACTGAACTATACCCAACATGTGATACTTGATTGAGGATGAGGGCTTCTCAGTTTCATCAAGCTTAACACCATAATCATAGTGATCAGCAGATCCAAACGATGGCGCTCTAGCTGAGGAAGGAGCCTCGTGAACAGAATGGTTGTCCATATCCACTAATTCACCAGGGCCTGTACCGTATTGCACCAACATTTCTCAAGTTTCTAACCAAATCAACTCATTGTAAGTTGAGCGGCAAATGGTCTATGTTTTTTTTGTTTTGACACATTTTTATAAGTATTTTGCAAAATTAACATCAAATATTCCAAAAAACAAGTGGCTGCCAGATATCAATATGGTGATTCAGGAGATATTACACTGAGCAAAAGCATGGTTATAAAATGAGCTATTACCACTTGGAAGTACAATTGATTAATTGAAGTACAAGAATTCTATTGATCAAATTCACTGCAGAATGAAAACTGGTATACGCCAGTGCCTCAAACCCTTAAAGTGGAAACATGAGAAAAAGACAGACAACAAAATCTCATCAAGATTGAAAATTACGCTCCAAGATCCAACCTAATGAAATCCATTTTTGTTACTACAGGAGCCACTGTTACTTTTAAGGAGCTTATTGAGTTGACCTTAGACAAGAAATTTATATCAATTATTCAAGGTTTGGGATATCAAAAAATCGTTATCCAATATGGTTCACAACAAGATGGTGTAACATTATTCACACAAGGGTTGAAGTCACTTGATTCCAAATTCATATCTCATGATTTAGATTCTAATAATGGAGTGATAGTGGCTGAACTATCATCTGGTTTCAAGATTGAAGGATTTGCCTTTACAACTGATATAAAAACAATAATGTTAAACTCTGATTTGATAATTTCCCACGCTGGTACTGGATCCATTCTAGATTCTTTAAGATTACAAAAACCTTTAATAGTGGTGGTAAATACTAAATTGATGAATAATCATCAAATTGAAATTACAGATGAGTTGATAAAAGGAAATTATTTATTAGGATGCGCTGCAAAGTTGGATGAATTAATCTCGAATGTGAAATTAATCAACCAAGTCAAGCTAAATGCACTTCCTCAACCAAATACAAATGTAATAGATCAAATAATTCAACAAGTCTAGATTATTTACTAATGATATGTATATACATTCAATTGTCTGGCTTACCAATGTTGAGTGTAAATTCCTTCATCAAGATCGAACGATCTTCCAAATGTTTTGTGATTGAAATTATTGGGCCTTCTGTCATGTCATGATCTTCTCTCCAATCTTTTATTGAAGGATCAAAATCTTGATTTAATAATCCACTCTCCACATTCACATCAAATAAATCAACATATGAACTTGAATTCAAACAATTTGGTTTAGATTCAATAAATTCTAAATTCATTGTATCAACATCTGTTAAATTATTCAGTGAAAATAATGGATTGAAATTTGTTGAAAATGAACTAGTTGATGATGGACTTTTCTCGTTATCACTAGTACTAAATTGACTATCAAATGATTTTTGTTTATCAACTTGAGGGTAATTCCAAGGTTTTATAATAGTGGTTCTAAAATTTGTGATTTGTAGTTCTTGAATTTTTTTAGTTTTCCTTGAGTGAAATCTATTTTCTGGTAGTTTTTCAGGAAATGGATTCATAATTTTCATATATCTTGCGAAAAAATCCATTCTTTTAGTAAAAAATGATAATAATCTAATTGAATAATTTGCAAAATAAACTAAATCTGGTGGTAAATATTTCCCATAAACATCACTTCTTTGAAATGGATAAAGTGTGGTGGGTCCAATAAACCTATGTTGAGTTAAATACCTAGATTCAGGGAATACATTATCCAAAACCCTCCCAATCATGAAATAAAATGTATAAAACACTCTTTGAACAGGTTTATCCATTGAATTTATTGTGAAAACTTCACTTGGTAAAATTTTATTAAATTGATTGTAAACTTCATAAATCATTGAAGGTGGGTATGATATTACATAGTTTTTGTTGAATTTTGATTTTAACGAGCTGTTGACAATATAGTCATAGAAAAATGATATCAATTTTGAATAATGCATGGATAAAATTGAATCACTTTCTTTCCTTATGGTTGGACCAAATTCATTCAATACTTCATAAATTTCAAATAACACATCAAAATCATAAGTCGGTGTGAAAAGTGCAGATAATGTATGACTGATTGATTGGATCACAAATGAGGCAATGGGTGACGAATCATTCGTAGCTGAATATAATTCTTTGATGACAGCTAAAGAACCTTCTATATAATAGCTTTGTAACGACCCTTGATTTAACAGATCTAAAGACCCCAGACAAATTGTGGGAATTGTGAAATTTGAATAATGATAAAGAGCTCTTTTGAAATCACCTTGTTGCTGAGCTTCAATCAATTTTAAAACAATTTTTCTCAATTCTTTCAAGCTTTTAGCCTTTTGTTGATACGTGAAATCCCTTAAAAACTCCAAGTCACCGAGCTTTATGCAAGAGTTATAATCTTCATCAAATTCCAATTTTTTTTCAATTTGTAAATAAAGCCAATAAGCAATAACACTCAAATGGTTTGTGAAAGCTTCATGATTTTTCGAAAATGACTTTATAATCAACTTTGTATAGAATAAGCGGCCATGGTATGAACGCTCGCTTTCGCAATAGAATTTTTGTTCTTGTGATTTCAATATGGTTGGAACATGATGCCGTATTAGTTTTATTGTCACATTATCATTAGTTCCTCCAGGAGTTGAAGATGTTGCAGTCTTTGGCGATTCATTTGAGGACGTCTGAGGTGAGGAGATTGGAGAGCTTTGATTCTGTAAAGCTTTTTGCATTTCTTTCTCTTGCAAAAAGTTCTTCTTTTCTTCATCTGTAAACGAAAGATAACTGCACGGAATCTAGACAAACAGTTAGTTCAAAAACACATTCGCTTTTCCCTTTCCACTCAACATACCTTTACCTGACGAATTCTGCAGTTCTTACATTGTGGTAGATCCTCATCACACTTCATTCTTCGTTCCTTACACTGGACGCAGCCTGGGATTAATCACACATGTTAGTACCAACAACCACTGGGAAGGACAGCGCATTCCAATTACTCACCGAGCTTCGAGTTTTTGTGTTTCCTTCTTGGTTTCCGCAGACGCTCCATGTGAAGCACATGGTTCTGAAGCGTATCTCTCTTGCTGTTGAAGCTCATGGCGGCTCTAGTGCTTGGTGTTGTACTGAAGCGCTATCAATTGTAACAACTTTTGTTTTCGATACGTACTTCAAAGTTCGCGACACCAAAGCGCAAAAAAAAAAAAAAAAAACAGAAATTTGGGCACGTGATGTGGCGTGCACGCGACCAAAAAAAGTGTATAAGAGCTGATTTTCAAATTTAGTGACACAACCATTCTAAATACCGGAAACTAGAGGGCAAAGATGTGTAGATTTCTGATATTCAAAGGTGTGTATTTTGTGATTTATATTTATGGACAAGGCTAACTACCTCATGAAGGTAAAGATCCAATTCTGTTGTCCCATTTGTTGACGAGACCTGCCCACTCAATCATAAAGTAAGTCAAGTGATAAATAACACCATCTGATTCATCAACTAACTGAATCATCAAGTCAATCATTTGATAGTAGGCTACGGCTAGATAAAAGGTAAGTATCTTAGACTGTCACTATGGTATAAATCTAACAATACAAAGACGCCCTATGAATGGTGATGGTTTTGGTGTTGGTTATTACTCATTAGATCCTGAATTGGAAGATGGACCATGTGTATTTCGTGCAATTACACCTGCTTGGAACAATATGAATTTAGAAAGACTAGCTGAAAAAACAAAATCAAACCTTGTGTTTGCTCATGTTAGGGCTTCAACTTATGGTGTATTATCAGAAACAAATTGTCATCCTTTCACATATCATTCATTAATGTTTATGCATAATGGTGGTATTTCCGGCTTTGATAAAATTAAAAGAAAACTAGTGGCTCATATGAAGGATGAATATTTTATCTTCTTACAAGGATCAACTGATAGTGAATGTTGTTTTGCACTGTTCCTTGACACTTTAGATAAAATGGGGTTTAACCCAGCTGATGAATCTACAAACTTTGGCCATGATGTTTTACGTGAGGCATTATTGCAGACTATAGAGTACATTAAGAATTGGACTAAAGATATCACCTCAGAACCTTCATTATTAAACTTTGCTGTCACTGATGGTCATTCTGTTGTCGTTTCAAGATACATCACTTCAAAAACCGAGGAAGCAGCCTCATTACATTTTAGTTCAGGATCAAGTTTTGTTGAGTATGAACCTGGCCAATATAGAATGGAAAGATTAGATCGTGGACAAAATGTCATCATGGTTGCATCCGAACCGTTAACATTTGAAAGAGGTGATTGGATAGCTGTGCCTACAAACTCCATTTTAAGTATCAAGAATCAAACGGTATTGCTACACCCAATTAAAGATGAATATTATCAAGAAGATCCTCTATATTCAAGATCTTCGAACTTTGCTGAAAGTAAAGGTTTAATGGGTAGTGTTCCATTGGCAGATACTGTGGATGTAGAAATCCCACCATTAGAAAGAGAAGGCCGTTCAAGACCCTTGACAGTATCGTGAGAAGTGCAAATGAAATATATTTTAAATTCAACGTCTGTAGTTTATGTTTTTCGCGGGTGAAAAAAAAAAAAATGAATGCCTATTTTTCGATCTCTTCCACACGTATAATCAAAGCTGTTGAAAAGACAGAAGGCTTTGGGAAATAATGTCATATAGAGGGTTTGGGCTTGAAAATGTTGGACCTGGTGGTCCCAAGAAACACTTCTCTGAAATGACGCAAGAAGAACAAGCTGAGGAAGGGGCGAAACAAATGATTGAGTTTATGGTATCTTGTCCTGGTAAATCAATAATGTCTGGTGTTACAGGTTTTGGTTTAGGTGGTGTTTTCGGTTTATTCATGGCTAGTGTAAGTATGGAATAACACTAGAGACGCTAATACTTTTACTAACTTACTTTCAGATGGCGTATGATGTGCCGATTGGTGGTAATCAAGCTGGTCATATTTCTGATCTTCCTTTCAAACAACAAGTTAAACTACAATTCGCTGATATGGGTAAAAGAGCTTGGTCAAGTGCTAAGAATTTTGGTTATATTGGTATGATTTATGCCGGTGTTGAGTGTGGTGTGGAATCAGTAAGTTGAACTTTTCATTCAGATGAATAAATATTAACTAATTGTACCTAGTTACGTGCTAAAAATGATATATATAACGGGGTGGCAGCAGGTTGTTTAACTGGTGGTGGGCTAGCATATAAAGCTGGTCCCCAGGCCGCACTTGTTGGTTGTGCAGGTTTTGCTGCCTTCAGTACAGCGAGTATGTTATAACCATGTTTTCTTTTTTGGTTTTTTTTGATTTACTAACTTGTTGAAATATAGTTGATCTCTATATGAGAAGTGAAGCTGGTAAACCTCCTACAAACGATTATGATGAATGATATGATTAAACTCCCTTTGACCTGTATATTAATACAATTTCTTTATAGAATTGAAACCAAAACCCAAGATGTGATACATCTATATATATAGTCCTTTTTTTTTAGAAAACTTTGTCTGTTGAGCATTCAGTAACTCATGAGGAATCCTTGAATTCACGTTGTAGATGGTTTTGTAAATTATAATACAATAGAAAAATGAGCCCTAATAAAAACAATGGGCTACCCAGAATTGAAAGTAGACGAATATGAATATATTCATTTTTATTATCAGCCTTCTTGAGTTTAGGCTTATTTATGGGAGGCTGAAATGGTTCTAGTAATGTTGTACGTGGTGGTGATTTCGAATTAGGTGTTGAAACAAAAGGTTGGTTGATTTGAGGATTCCTTGATTTGAAATTGTTGATAATAAAGTCCTTATCATTGAAGGTTTCCAACATAATTCTGTAATTTAACCCATTAGGGCTGCCCTCAAGAGATAGAGTTGGACTTTTATAATCATTCACTTTGGTGTAATTGTATGAATTTCCTTGTGGAGTGATGGGTTCATTTGATGAATCTTCAGTTTGAACTACTCTATCAACCAATTTCCTGCTCGTGCTTGATGCTGTTGACCGTTGAAATTTTTTCAAAGATTCCTTCAGTTTCTCCTTATATATATCACCATCTTCATTCTCAACATGATTTTGACCAAGTGGTCTTCTTGTTTGAAATTTTATTCTGTTTGTGACATGATTCGAACGATCGTTTGATTCACCGACCTTGGATGAAGTTTCATCTCTTGTGGAATAGTCCAGATATGGCAAAGGCAATGGATCTCCCAAGTACTTTCTCACATCAGATCTTCGTATTCTTGGAGGTTTTTCATCCACCAGTTGGATTGGTTCGTTTTCAATGACATTTTCGTTCATCTTATCATTGTGAAGTTTTCTGTGTAATTCAAATAGCTTTTCTCGATTCGTGTGCCGTAGCTTTCCATTAACGCTGTATCCATTCTCCCCAGATCCAGAATTCATTTCTTTCTGATTATATCTATGTCAGTGACCAGATTCTCGACAGCTTAGGATGTGTTTTTGTTTTGTTTTGCAATGGCAGATACATTAACTTCATGTTTGTTTTTTTACGCGTTGCCTCATCAACTTGATGATACTGTTAAGGACACTCCCATAATAGCTTTTCAAACTAATTCGTGACAATATTTTAAAGGCTTTAACAAACTACCAGATGGTTACCGTAAGAAATATTTTAATCATTAGATTGAACCCCGGTGGAAAATTCGTAAAAAGGTTATACAAAATCCAATAATAAATCTTGGAACGTATGACATGTAAAAATGATGCGCTCTGCAAAGGAACCAATCATATGTAGATGAAAGATTATAGTTCATCTTGAACCCATCAAGACCAACGTATAATATTCATGAAATAAAGTAAGCACCAAATTGTGGGAGAGAGAGAGAGTAAGTAAAAGACCTTGAAAGTTAATAGAAAAAGATGCATTTGTAGTAAAAAGTTGGGAAAAAAGAGAAGAAAAACAAAATAACAAATTAAGATAAATGATCAAATGATTAACACTAAAAAATGATGAGACATGGTAAGATGGGAAATGACAAAGGCTATTAACAATAGATGACGTGAAAGGGAAACTAAAAAAGAAAAGAATAAGAGATGTAAAAAATGCATTGAGCCTGTTTTCAAAAATTAGGTCAAATAAAAAAAGAAACCAAAATTAAAATTCAAAAACTTCATATCAAAAGATTGAAAAAAATGGGAATTTGTGGGTATATTGACAGCATTCATCATTTCCAATGAATACTATGATTCTGTTTCACTCTTTTGAGATAATATTTCAAAATTGAAAGTTAGCTTGATTACCTGTGTTGAAAGCAAATGTATTACCAGCCTGTTCTGGAGCTAATCCGGTATCATCTAGTTCATCTTCAGCTGCAAAGTATTTGTCAACAATTTGGTAAGCTTTTTCATAAATTTTAGCGTTTTCATTATTTTGACAGTCATAAATTTTTTCCATACCACCACATTCTTCAATATAAATTGCATTTTCATTTTCAGCTAAACCTCTTGTTTCTTTATCTAATTCACCCATTTTCAAAATATTTTCTAAAGCATCAAGAGTCACTTCAATGATTTTATTATCAGCAACAGATAACAAATCACATAATGGTTTAATACAACCTTGGCTGACTAAATAACGAATAATATCAGGTTTAGTTAAACCACCAGAAGAAGCGTTTGAAATAGCCCAACATGCTTCTTTTTTAGTTTTATAGTCAGCTTGTTCCAACAATTTGATTAAAGGTGGAATCAAATTGGCATCAATAACAGCTTGAATTTGTTCTGAGTTACCTGCAGTGATATTTGAAATAGTCCAAGCAGCTTCTTTTCTAATTGAATCTTTTGCAGATGATAACAATGGTAACAAAGCATTTAAAACACCAGCATTAATAACAATTTGAGTTTGTAAATCATTACCTGTAACGATGTTACCAACCGCTCTTAAAGCAGGAGTTTGCACCAAAGTTGTTTCATGACCTAATAATTCAACTAATCTTTTTGGTATTCTGGCGTCAACAACGGCTTGAATAGCTTCAGTTGGTCCATCTGATAGATAAGAAATAGCCCAACAAGCATCAATTAAAGTTTCCACATCAACTGAATAAATTAATTTAGCTAAAGTTGGTAAGGCTTGTGAGACAACATTCCAATCTGGTTGAGGATTTTTACCTCTACACAAGTTTGATAAAGTCCAAGTAGCAGTTCTAACTAGAGACATTTTTGTTGTGTTGAATAATGAAAGAACAGGTTCCATGGCGTTACATGATAAAACATAATCTCTATATTGAGCTGAATCACCAGCAACATTACCCAGAGCCCAGATTGCTTGTTCTTTAACTTCTAAAGAGTTTGAATATAACAAGTTAACAAAAGATGGGACAGCGCCAGCTTCAACAACATATCTTGTTTGATCTGAGCTACCAGAAGCAATATTTGTCAAAGCCCATGCAGCTTCTAATTGTAACATTTCTGGTTGATCACTCATAAACCCAACTAATCTTGGAACAACACCTGATTGAATAACTAAATCAATTGGAGGATTACGTTCTCTTGATAAAATTTGTCTGAATTTCACAGTAGCAGCTAATTGAGAGTCAAAATTATCAGATTGGATTTGTTCCATCATTCTTGGTAGTTCTTGTTGTAATTGACTTAAAAATGAAGAATCATCATCATTTTTCTTAGCGTCATCTTCATCATCCGAATCATTAGCGTTAGAGACGTTGAAATTTCTTCTTTTAGCTAAAGTTTCATCTCTTTTAGCTTTTCTCAATTCGACACTTTGAGTTTCACGACGACGACGTAATTCATCAGGGTTAAATCTACCTTTATTTTTGAAATTAGTACGACGATGATCTGGGATGTACTTGTTTGTTGAATCTGAATCCATTTTCTCAAAAAATAAACACTTTGTAATCTTCTTTCTTGTTTAACTCTCTTGTTGAAACGATTGAACCCCAACTAATTTATGAAGAATAGAATATGATCTAAATGTTTTATTTTATTGTTGTTTTTATGTGAAAGAAAGAAGAAAAAGGCTTACTTGATATTTTTTTTTTTTCCACTGTTGTTTTTCTTTTGAAAATCAATTTTAATTAGCCGAATATGGTAATTCGCTGTTTAGGGACGGCTCTGGACCAGGGTAACCAAAATATTGAAACTTCACCAAGGTAACCAACTACAATAACGAAATGAACATAAATCGCATTACGTTCACAATTGAAATTGTACGGTAAAGGGAAAGAGATGTTTTCTATTGGTGCTAAATTGTATAAACCAGCTGGTCTCAGGGCTTTCCATTCCACTTCCAAGGTGCTTTCTGCTATCAATAGCATTGATGGGGTCATCAAAGTCAAAGAACCATTTGCCATAGCTGCAACTCCTATTGATCCTAAGTATAGGGCTGGGTATGAACCATTATACGTTGCCCCTTCGCATAAACACATAGCTACAATGAAAAGAGTGTCACTAGCTGTCGGCGTTGTTGGAATCTATGTTTCGCATTTAATGTTTGATTCTGTTGTGGTTGCAAATGAATTGAGTTATGTTGTTGGTGCTCTAAGTACTTTACCTATACCTGCTGTTAACTATTTCACTCAAAATTATGTTTCCAGAATATTTAGACTATATGATTCAACTAAACCCCAGACATTGGAAAATTTGGTCACTGATGAAACTTTACTTGCGGAAAAGATATCATGGACTGGTAGATCTTATTACTTTAGATTGGTTAAAGTAAAAGATCTAAAGCTTTCCAATGATCGTTTTGGATGGGTCAATTGGAAAACTGACAAAGATCAATTCTATGTTACTGATGATATAGGTGGAATAAAGATGGATCGAATTTGGGGCATTGTGGAACATAATTCAGGGGTAGACAATGGTCGGTTTTTTGAAAAATGATCATAGCTTTTTTTATAGTTATTATTTATTTATTACTTATTTATCGTTATTTATTAAAAAGATATCAGCATCCTTGCATTTTTATTCTTGAGTACACCAGTTTTTGAAAGTTGATGTAGCTGTCTTGAAAAGTAGAGAGCGAAAAGCAAAAAAAAAAAAACACGAGAACCCATCTCTGACAATATTGTACATCAATGTTGAACTAACAAGTCTAGAGCCAAAATGGAGTCTATGGATATTGATGTGGGTACGCTGACTATTTCTTTTATACTTTGCAAATACTTACAAGCTCCCTAAAGTCTTCATCAGAAAGTGTATTGAGATCGAACTCAATTTGGTTACATGGAGTCGATAATTTATCAACAAAAGAGATAAAAGCTTACTTGAAGAATTTCACTGACGATGATTTCAAAATTGAATGGATTAATGACACTTCATGTAAGTATCTATGTAATTAATTTTTCTCAAGACTTTCCTAACTTTGAATAGTGAATGTTGTTTTTGAAAATGATGAAGATGCTTCAACTAATTTGAAAAAATTTACAAAAGAACAAGATAGAGAGTTTTCACCAACTGATGAAAGAGAAGCTCAAGACTTTGAAGGTAAGCCAGATGTTTCTATTACTTTAAGAATTAGTAATTTGAGTGATAAAAAAGTTAAAAATGCTGCCCAATACTCCAGATATTACCTTTATAATCCACCAAATCATGGAACTGAAAGAAGATCAAGAAAATCAAGTAGGGGTTCATCTTATCGTGAAAGGGAACCTGTTGTTTTTAAAAGATCCAATTCAAGAGATGTTGAAGAAGATGATGGAAACGATTTATTCCCTGATAAAGCAGCTTCAAATGTACCAAAAAAAGTTCAAATACGGGATAATGACAACATGATTGATGATTCCACAATTGAACATCCAAAATCAGATTTAGGTTCAAGAATTGGTACCTTTATTTCTGAAGGAGATGAATTGGAAAACCAAAGACCAAAAACCACAGGAAGTTTACTGGATAGAATCGGTTCTATCGATAAGTCAAAGTTCAAAGAGAAAAATTTAGATAAAGATGATTTATTCAATTAGCAAAAAAATTTGTATTATTATAAGTTTGTTTATTATTAACTAACACTGTAAAGAAAAAAAAAGTAGGTACAATTTATAATCTGGATATTCCTCTATTAGTAGATTATATTACTTGTTTGATTTGATATGCAACTCTGGATTTTTCAAAAAAGACAAACAAAAAAAAAGGAGTGATACTTTCGAATGTTGAGAAAAAGTTCACTAATAATTAATTGGTATAAATGAAATGGCGTGAAAAATTGTTAATCTATAACAATAAGGCAAGACCGGCAACGAAAGCTGAACCAATACCGTAACCATAAACTGAACCAGCACCATTAGCTGAGGCAGCTTTGTTGACATCAGTAGAAGCATGGGTTTTATCAAATCTACCAGCTTTATGGGTACCAGTTGAGGATGATGATGATGATTGATGAGTTTTATCAAATCTACCAGCTTTATGGGTACCTGTTGAAGTTTCACTTGAAGATGGATGAGTTTTGTTAAATCTACCAGCTTTATGGGTACCGGTTGAAGTTTCACTTGAAGATTGATGGGTTTTGTTAAATCTACCAGCTTTATGGGTACCACTTGAAGTTTCCCTTGAAGATTGATGGGTTTTGTTAAATCTACCATCTTTATGAGTACCAGTTGAAGTTTCTGTTGTTGAAGCATGTGTTTTATCAAATCTACCATATTTATGAGTTGAAGAGCTATCTTCACCATCAGCAGCCTTGACGACAGCAGCAGCACTCAAAGCACCTAAAACTAAACCAGAGACCTTCATTTTGTGATTGATTCTTCTTTAAGAGTTCGTGAATGATTAAAAGAACAAAAAACTTGATGTTTATAATTCGGTTCTCGTTTTTTTTTCTTCCTTCACCAATAATTACCAGTTTTTCGAAATTTCCTCGAGCCAACTTCCTTTTTTTTTATCCTCTCAATCCGAGGAAAAAAACGCTCGCCGGCTTCTGCCAAAAATTTCACGACGGCCCAGCTGTGGCGCCAACCAGTGCCCAAAAACGGCAAGAGCGGACCGATTAGGGAAATTTATCAACAAATTGGGAATTTTCGTGCCAGATAAGAAGCTACAGGAGGAAGACATGTTGGAAAAGTTGGAACTTTTATTTGAAAAAGAGTGACAGATGTATAGTTACAAAGTGTATGAAGGAGTTAGCTATACTGCAAAGGGGTCTGAACTTGTCAGACTGTTCAAACTGAGGTAGTCACCTCAATAGTTTTAGTAACCGGTGAAACAAAGTATTTCTATCAAGTTTTAACAATACATGTCGAGTCCTGTCTTAGGAAAGTGCTGTATTTGATGAGAAACACCAACAACAAGTCATTCTCCATTTATTAAACTCATATTGTATTAATTCTAATTCAAATACTTGTAAGATGTCCGAGAGAACACAGGCAAAACGTTTCATTAAACAACAAATTGTTTTAAAACGGAATTTCTCTATTTTTTTAAGCCGTTCATGGGATGATAGTCATGAGTATTGTGCGCTTTGAAAGATTTCAGTTCTTAAAGGTGTTTATAATAACATTAATCTATTCGACGTTTCTTGTGAACTTTGATAATCTTCTTTAATTACACTGAATATAGAGCACAATGAAATGTCCTCAACTAGATATGGTATCAATAGTAACTCAACAGCTATCTTTATTATACTGGTCATTAAGGTAGACGTGTCTTAGTAGTTCATGTCACCACCTTTAATTCAACTTCAAAAGAAATCTTTAAAGCGCCATATGGGACCTTCATATTAAACTGAATGGGTCACTTATAAATTACGTCTCTCAGGCTTATCACTCATGACCAGCTTCAGTCAGCATTGCCAGCTAAACTTTAACAAGTGTCAAGTATGTAAGATTGAAATATAGTTGAGTAGCTGTCAAAATTCACGGGTACAGTATTTTACGTGCGATTATAGCCGTTGCAGCCACGACCCATGATTAATTATACGACTCATTATTTCATCAATAATGATCTAAAACTAGTTCTTTGAACAAATTAATAATGATGAAATTATCAATGTAGTTGTTCATTGAATTTTCAGTGGATTTTGACTAATTTTCAAGTTTTAATCCAGTACTTTTGTTAGGTTTTGAAAATTTGTAATTTGTTTTAAAGAATATCGAAGATGCTTGAATTCATGAAAACAGGTAGAATTAATTAAATATATTATATATTATTATATGATCAATTAATATTAATATATAAATTGAATATTATTGATCAAAGGGCGCTACACTTATTACAATTAACAATGTCCAACGCCCAAACCGTTAAATGCTTTCAATAGCTTATATTATAAAGAGCTATGGCGCCTAATATAAGCCGGCTGACGCGTAGCTATTCAGCTAGACGAATATCATGATTAGCCTGTACAGTATAGATAGATCAGTTCAAGTAGCTTAGTAACTTGAAACAGGTGAGCTGTGTGTGTTGAATTATACATCTGTCTCTCAAATTGTGCTTTATGTGTGAATTTATGTAACTTATATTTGTATCTCAGATGCCTGTAAGATCAACAGAACATACAGATTACTTTGAAAAAGCTTTCGGGCAAACATATGACTTGCTGAATAGCTCAAGCTCTACTCAGGTAAATCATCTCACACAGATTTCTATTAATTAATGCTATACTTCAAGAAAGTTAAAATCTTCTCAAAAACTTGAACTTGAGAATATAAATAAACGATGAATATTTATCCTCTGAATAACGCTCATAAATATATTGCACCTAGCCATATACTTCAAAGAACATTACTACTTGAGCTCCAAAAACAAATAATGTCCGAATCAATTGAAGAACCAAACAAAAATCCATTCACCACTAATGAACAAACATTCCCACAACAAAATGAACAAACATCTTTGAAAAGAACAAATCCAATAAAGACACTATTCCATAACAATATTTTTTTGAACGGGTTGAGAATCCTTCAAAGCCTGTCTGTTTTAATCACTTTAATTTTAGCAAGTTTATCAATTAGATATTTCTTTAAAAAAGATGAAAGAATGGGAATGATTGTATTTTTCAGTTCAATTTCAATTGTTTATCATATAATTCTGCTTCAATTAACTGGAGATAGTTTCATTGTTTTAACTGATAGAATTTCTGATCAAAATTTGGTTTTAATTTTATTTTTAATGGAGTTTTTACAAATGACAATTTGGTTTATTGGGAGTTTGTTAATTGTGCTGAGATACCCTTTTTATAATTGCACCAGACAGGGAAGATTTAATAGAGTTGATGGATGTAAATGTGGACAAGCCTCATTGGGGTTCATAATTTTCAATTTTATTTTATATTTGATTGGGTTCATTGTTTTGTTGTCCAACATTAGAAGAACAGATATTTCAAAGATTAGAGCTTCTAAGAATCATTTTCTTGATTTTGAGTTGAAAGAGTTTGAAGGGGAAATTGGTCAAGAGTAATATTGGGTAGTAGAGGCTTAGTTTTTGCTAGAGTAAATACAAAGGCTTGCTCATGTTATCAAATGATGTATTATCTTCGTTTAATAGATGGGTTTTGATTTTTTTTTTTTCAGTACCTCGCACCTAGAAGTTAGCACCGAAGTATCTCATCATGTAAATTTTTAGTTCATAAAGGGTATGAGAATTTAACGAGCTGTCGTTAAAAGTTGAAGAGCTAGAATTGAACCATAGACTTTTATAATGATTCGAGAATCTGTATATAAAGTAGTGGTAATCCTTGTATAAGCTTCAAAGTGCCAATCAAAGGTCATAGTTAATTCAATAAAAAACATGAAGCTCACTAGCTCATTTATTACCTTAGTTTCCATAACCAATCTCTTTGGGTTCATCAATTGTGTTGCTAATAATGCAGACGTTGCTACTGTCTTATTCTCAGATGTCAAATCTCACTTGAATGATTACATGTCTTATGTTCAGAATAACCCAACTTTTAGTTTTCCAACTGAACTGATCAACTATTTCACTGCAATCACTACTTATACTGATGATTCATACACTACTTTATTATCTGATTTTCCAGCTTCACAGATTGCAACTTTAGCTAGTGAATTACCATGGTACTCATCAAGACTGGAAACCAAATTAGAATCAGCTTTCACAGCTGATGGGCTAGTCTTAGCCTCTGGCAGTCAGTCAACTTCATCACCAGCAGTTAGTAGCGGTGCATCCACAGCTGCTTCTTCAATTTTGAGCTCAGCGCTCTCAAGTTTCAACTCACAAACGAAATCTTCATCCAAACCTTCAGAATCAACCACAGCTGGTTCATCAAAAAGCGCTAGCTCAATTGGGTCAACATCACCTTCATCCTCTATCAACAGCAGTAACAGTAAAGCGCTTGGAGTTGTTGACTATAGTGCTCCAACATTCTTGGTGTTATTAGGTGGTGTTTTCAGCTCAGTGTTCATTCTATAAGGTACGTCTTTATGTAGCTGAAGAATGTACGACTTAGGCAGTCATGGTCAACTTTTTTTTTCTTGTCGTTGTAGGACGTGCTTATGAATCATAATTTCAGCCGCCGCAATCTCAACGCTACACAGCTTTCAGGGAAGCTCATATATTGCAAAACTCAAGATACAGATCTAGGGTGACCAAGTGCTCTAATTCCTTCACTATTGTTAAAACACTAGTGTTCTTTTCTGATCACTGCTTCAGCCTTTGATCATTCAGCCTTAAAAGGTACCTGTTTCCACTGACCTCCAAGATCTCCGTTTATTATTATTTTTTTTTACGAATTGCATTGTTGCAGCAGTAACGTCAAACCCTGAACGTTTAGAGACTTAGCACACAAATGATGATCCAATATAGATAATCAATTGAAGCCACTACGTTTCCATGACCAATTGGATATACTACTTGCCATTTATATCCCAGAGGCTTTGTTCATCAAGGATCATGATGACTTGAACTCACCAGCGCTACACCACATCTGACAATACATACGTCCTTGTTCCTGGGCTTGATGACGACTTCAGCTGCACAATAATTATATGAAACTGCACAAGTACATGCGCTTTTTGAATTCAAAAAAAATGAGAGAGAGTGTGTTTTCACATCTGTATATAAACACCCAAACAGAACACGTATTTTCTTTCTTGTTTCTATTCTTTAATCACCACCGTACACAGCAACAATGTCAGAGATTCAAGACATAGAGAAGCAACAAGCAAAGCCATTCAAGTCTTTTAGAATTATATCAAGCACATTGTTTGGTTTCATTTTAAGAGCCGCCCAATGGTTTGTCACCATATTGGTCCTTGGTTTAAGTGCTGGTTCATTAGACAAATATGCCACCAGTGGCTCAATGTCATACACAGTGTTTGCCTCTGTCTTCACTTTGCTTTACCTTATAGTATTTACCATCTTGTCCTTTGTTTCACCATTAAACATCATCATTGGTGTCAATGTCATTCTTGAAATATTGATCACAATCTTTTGGTTCACTTCATTCATCTCAATTGCCGCCATCTATGGTCCTTCAGATTGCAACTATCACTATTCTGGATGGTATTATATTTATTATATCAATAAAAATGCTTGTCAAGCTTCAAAAGCTGCTATTGCATTTGCTGCTGTCAACTTTGCCCTCTTCTTGGTTTCCGCATTAGCTTTAATCTTAACATCTATTAGCAACATATCAACAGATCAATTGTTTCAACAAAATTCAATCAGTGGTGCAAGCTTGAATAGACCATTAATTGCTGTTACAAGTATTGGAACTTCAACTGTGGCTTTTCAAACTGATAACACAAATATCGAGTCTGCTGACACTTTAAATAACAATACTGTTGAACAAGAGGCTGAGCCAAAAGAAGAAGGAGCTGCTGATGATGTTTCAGCTCAATCACCTGTTACAACTGTCACACCAGCTCAAAATAATTAAAAAACTTGACTAACTGGCTGATTTTTCATGAATTTTTTTGTTCACCCTCTATACTAATAACTAATCTTTCTGTGTTTAATTTGATAATGTTCAGAATAAATCTTTAAACAAAGCCCTTCATGTAGCTAATACAAAGCCAAATTTTTTAACAAGCACTTGGAACCTTTCGAGTCTCAAGTGATTTTTCTATTTTGACTTTCAATCTACTCTTAAATAGATTATTTCAGATCCAAGAGAGTTACCAACTTCCCATAATACCATAAATCATTATTTGAACTAGACCCAGAACTCTTCAAACATTAGTGAATAGAATTTTGAATAGTGTCGAATTAATGCTCCTCAAAGGAAAAAAAAAACGTGTTCGCGGAAATCTCATTCTATCGCGAATTTTTCGTTTTTTCCTTTGATCTGTTGCCTTCAATTTCAACAAAAAAAAAACCTGGTGTTGATAAATTAGGCTTTGATCGCTTAATCCATATTTGATTTATTTGGAACTAAGATTACTATGAGTAAATCAAACACCTTGAGCAAATACAAAATTGTGTTTCTTGGGGAACAGGGTGGTACGTATAAATGATCTCATCTAGTTGAAATTTCATCTAACAGATTTATCAAGTTGGTAAAACTTCATTGATTACAAGATTCATGTATGATACATTTGATGACAACTATGCAGTAAGTAAAGAGTGTCATACTATATATGGTTTTGTACTAATACCCACTTCCATGATAGGCCACAATAGGTATTGATTTTTTATCCAAAACAATGTATCTTGATGATAAAACTGTTAGATTACAACTTTGGGATACCGCTGGGCAAGAAAGATTTAGATCATTGATCCCTTCATATATAAGAGATTCTCACGTTGCTGTTATTGTTTATGATATAACTTCCAAAAAATCGTTTGATTTGGTTGATAAATGGATTGAAGATGTTAAAATTGAAAGAAATGATAATGTGGTGTTATGTTTAGTAGGGAATAAAAATGATTTAGTTGATAAAAGGCAAGTTTCTATAGAGGATGGTGAGAAAAAGGCAAATTTCTTAAACTGCGCAATTTTCATAGAGACTTCAACAAAATTGGGTTACAATGTTAAAAATTTGTTCAAAAAGATTGCAAAAAGCTTACCAGATTTTGACGAAACAAAAGACAACCAACCAGAAAGTGAGTTTAAATTATTTTTTTAATTCAGAATTAGAATAAATTATTAACAAATGTTTTAGTGATTGATATTTCAATTGATACAAAAAAAGAAGATGAGGCTCAATGTCAATGTTGATAGAAAAGATCTACGCTTATGTTCTGCTTTATCTTCAAAACTCACCACTTTTACCTGTACACTAGAAATTATAATAAATTATGAGAATGAACGATAACTTGAAAAGGTAGTGTTTAAATTCTGCAGCTTTGATCGCGTTCGCGTGTACCACGGATTAGCTATGCGCGAACTTTACCCTCTTGTGCTGCTGGTCGTGAATATTTTGATCATAAAGGAGCCAATTATTGCAAAAGCAAAAGTAAACCACTTGTATTATCAAATGAAATATCTTCAACAACAACATTGCGATAATGATCAAGAACCAAGTCATTAGACATACCAAACCAATCAATACCCTGTCGCTATTTGCTAGACATCAACAAGCTAGGTCTGTTGTCACACAAAAGGATGTCACCCCTTCAAATTTAGCCACTGATTTTCCCCTTGGTTCAAATGTTCCAAAACCTGCAAATGCCATGGATTATGTCTTAACCACCATGGATAATATTGCAGATTGGGCTAGAAAATCATCTTTCTGGCCAGTTACTTTTGGGTTAGCTTGTTGTGCTGTGGAAATGATGCATGTTTCCACTCCAAGATACGATCAAGATAGATTAGGTATTATCTTTAGAGCAACCCCAAGACAATCAGATATTATGATTGTTGCAGGTACTTTAACTAACAAGATGGCACCTGCCCTAAGACAAGTGTATGATCAGATGGCTGAACCTAAATGGGTTATTTCAATGGGTTCTTGCGCAAATGGAGGTGGTTACTATCATTATTCATATTCAGTTGTCAGAGGGTGTGATAGAATTGTTCCAGTTGATGTTTATGTGCCTGGATGTCCACCAACTGCAGAAGCATTGATGTATGGAGTTTTCAGATTGCAAAAAAAGATGTTGGCTGCCAAACCAACCAGATTGTGGTACAGACAATGAAGCACATCTAATTATTTATTCATTATTTATTCATTATTAAATTATTTATTCATTATTTATTCATTATTAAATTATTTATTTATTTATTCAACACCATTATTTATTATACAATTTGATTTAGTGTATTTCTAGTTTTAACTCCACGAATTTAGAATTCTCCGACAAAGAGAAAAAAAAATAAAAAAAAAAGACGTGCAGAGTACAAGGAAAACATCGACAACTACATTTTAAAACGAATCAAGCAGTGGCAGCTTAAATAAACTGAACAAAGGGCCGTTCATCTGCTGAAACATCGACTGCTTTTAGCGAAGACTCCAGTGCCATAACGTCAGTATTCAAGAATGTCATTAACGCCTCTGTTGGCTGTTTCTTACACCTCAAATTATGGGGAAACTGATGCTGGTCAAAGTCATAAATCAATGGAGAGAAAGTTAAAACACTATTATTTATCGTTGATGAGATCTCAAAGCAAAGGATTAGATGGGATCAACATTGGTAATGATAGTTCTGAAGAGGAAACAGAAACATTCAAAGATTCCATTTCAAACCCATACATGTTTATACATGATCAGGAATACGACAATTTAGAATACAATAAAATTTCAACCCCCAAGGATTATTCAAGAAATTATATGAAATCCCACAAAATTTGGACTCCTCATGCTAACACCAATGGTATTTTGAATATTTTGAATCATCAAAAAGGTTTCTCTAGTGAGGCTTTACCACCTCCGAAAGTGGACCCTGATAGATGTTCTTCATATTCTGTTGTTGACGATGCAAAGTTTTTGAATTATCTTCATTTACCCAAGACAATGGGTAAAGATCAATTACCTACTTTGATATATCATACTTCATGTGAAGTGAATGGGAATATTTACTTATTAGGTGGTGCTTCAACTTTTTTCAATCAAAACGGTGTCATCAAAGACTTATCAAATTATATTGTGGATGGAATTAAATTACCAAAACCAATTAATTCCAGACTGTTGAATAATCCAACAGTTATACCAAATGATCACCTATTTGTTATATCATCAGAAACCAATCTTGTTTCGAAACCTGAAGTCTCTGGTGATGTTCCACCTCCCTTATTATCGATGTCTGCCAGTAAAATCACAAATAGACATATTTTCTACTATGGTGGGTTTGAAGTAATCAATCAAGTTCAGTATGATAACAGCAAAAACAAGATACACATCAAGAAATCAGTTAAATTAAACAACAGTGGCTATGTATTGGATGTGATGAGTTTAAAATTTAGAAAATTTGAGTTAATTGCACATCCAAACATGATTACAAGATATCCACTAACTGTTCCAAGATTTGGTCATTCTTCTTGTGCAGTGAACTTAGCAAAACATATGAAATCAGATGAAAATTCCAGTGCAAGCGGTATTGCTGCTACAGTTTTCATAATGGGTGGGTTTAGGCAAGACCCAGAAGATCCAACAGACTTCAAAGCTATCAAGGATTTATGGAAAGTTGAACTATCTATTACATACAAGGGTAAACATGACTATGTTCAATTCGGTGAAAGTGTTTTAGCTACTCCAATTCCTGGTCCTATTGATGATGCCTCTATTCCATGCGCAAGAGCGTTCCACTCAGCTGAAATACTCGATGCAAGTATTGTTCATGGGCATCATACTTTCAATAACAAATCCAAGGTTCATAACCCCAATAAGGTTGGAATAGCAAGACCTTCTTCTCCAACAGTGTCCTTGATTTCACAAAATTCATCATCAAGTAATAATAAGCCATTCAATGAGGAACTTCTTGATTTAATGTTGATAGTGCATGGAGGTACTGATGGTGCTGAATTGTTTGGTGATGTTTGGTGGTTTAATTTTGATGAAGAAAATTGGTATTCGATTTCAACTTATTTTCATGATTTTGATCAGAATTTAATACCCAAGGAAACAGTTTCAGAAGTTCAAATGAAAAGAGCCGGCCACCGTTGTATTTTGATTGATAAGTATTTTTATGTAATTGGTGGAGGAATGCCCTCTGATTTTGATGATTTTGACCAAGAGAAGATTGACCAAGACCAATTTCCAGATATATCACCTCTTGTTGCAAACATAAAATGTCGCTTGAAGGGATCAAGCTCAAAACAAGATCAATATCAAAGACTATTCATTTTAAATCTTCAAACTCAAACTTGGCTAATGACAAAATATTTTCATGGTATTTTACCTTTATTCGGTACAAGTCAAAGCCTTTCATATTTTGGGAATATTGGTGCCACAGTTACTCAAAGTAATTCAAAGGTTTTCGTTGTTGGAGGTCAGTTGATTCCTCATCATAAATATGATAACCATTTGAATGAGTCAAGAAGGGTGAATATTTTAAACAGTGGTCTTTCAATATTTGAGTTCCCCTTAGGAAGTGGATTGAAAAGTTTTGGCAAGTCTTAATATTCGAAGTTGAAATTTAATGAAGTTGTATGACATCCTTACAGTATATAAAGAAAAAGTTAGAAATAGAAGAAAGTATATATTTATTAATGATTAATATAAATAAGAGAAAATGATTGATGAAAAACAGAACTTTTGGAGCGCCAATTAATATCTTCTTGAGCATAGCGTTAATTCAAACTCATATACTTGACAAGATCTCTTGTAACTGAGAATTCAAGATCTGTACATACTGATGATAAAAACTCTTGGTTTCTGGTGTACCATCCACAACAATATTTACCTTTTTTGAACTTGATATAACACTATTTGTTAGCTGTGTACCTGTTAAACTATTTGGTTGAGAGAAAATAAACTCATCAAATGAATAAACTTGATTGTCCAAAGTTGGGATTTTTCTTAGGCCAAGGTTTGATATCTCATATGTTGTCTTCCTAGGAGATGTTGCCTCTTTTGAAACGCCTTCCTTTGGATCAACATATTTGAGCATCCCAATGAGCGATGCACCTTTGATCAACTCATTTCTTGTAATTGTAGAATTAATGAACTTAACATAATCCCAATCAATATTTTCTGTGGCCACAGGTTTCAAATTTAAAAACACAGCAGAAACAAACAGTCCATAATGATTCTCAAAATTAGAAGGCAAAAGAGATCTCAAGTTACAAGGAACTGACACTTTAATATTATCATGGTTTTTTATCTTGGATAACGAAATGATACTTAGATATACCCAAAATGCAGTAAATTTCACACCATGGAGATCAATGAGTTTCTTTAATTTCATAAAGTCTTCCATATCGATACTAATCAGCTGTTTCAGAGTTCTGAATGTTTTTTCCTTAGTACCAGCATTTTCAACCCATCCTGGCCCATCAAATGCTTCATATTTCGAGCCATAACTGAACATACTCTTGAAAAAAGGTTTCATAAAGTTAGGTGAGAAATGCTCTAAGATTTTGCAAGTTGTATAGGTATATGATGGGGTTGTCAATTCCACAAACTTTGAAAGATTCAGATCTTTGTCAACCGGGAGGCCCTCCTTGTTCAACAGAGTCAGCAAGTCCTCGAGAATCAAGGCAGCAGTGGTACCATCATATAGTGTATGATCACAAAGGACCATGATCCATTCTTGGTTCACAACAACAATTTTCCACATTGGTTTCTGGACTTCAAGCTTGAAAGTCTTTTCGTGTAGATCATTCAAAATTTCGGTAATGGAATAGTCCTCACTGGTATTCATGAATTCGACAACTTCTTTAGAATCCCATCCATTTTCAATCTCTTTCTCAACCAGTGTATTGTTTTGATCGTCTTTAAAGACGTTGAGACGAAGCTGTTTTCTTGATTCAAATAACTGACGAACAGCCTCACGTAATACATCTTTATTTTCGAATTTGATGTTTAGTCTTCCACCAACAATGAAACAAGAGTACGTACTCAATAGGTTTCTGTAGTAATTACGCTTCTCCAATCCTTCAATTTGTCGAGTCATCGTGTCCTATTATGGAGGATTCATATATCAGAACTAGTGGTACAGCTTTGAATTGTTTTTCATGAGCAGACGAGTTTTCTTATACTTTAGGGGTAAAGCCGATTAACTCCACCACAGGTAATTACTGGTACATACTTCCGAACAATTTATTATTATAGACTTTCTAAACTCTTAACAACACTCACGGCTGCTTCACATAAAGTATTAAGTTGCGCTTGAGTGATAACAAAGGGTGGCATCAAATATATTAGCTTACCAAAGGGACGGACCCAAGCACCAGCATCAACAAATTTTGCTTGCAAAACTTCAGTTTCATATGGTTTTGTTAATTGAATAACTGCCAGTGCACCAATACCTCTCATATCTTCAACATAGCTAAGATTCAGGCTTTCAATTTTCTCAAATAATTCTCGTTGGAACGTTTTCTCAATGTTTGAGACCTGTGATTGCCATTCATTTCTTGAAAGTATCTCCAAACTCTTATTAGCAACAGCACATGCTAAAGCATTGGCCATATATGTAGGGCCATGAAAAAATCTTTTAGCTGGGCTTTCACATACAAAGTTTGCAATATCTCTTGTCATTAAAACAGCAGATAAAGGGAGATAACCACCTGTTAAACCTTTCCCACAAAGTAAGATATCTGGTACAATATCAGCATGTTGATGTGCAAATAATTTACCTGTACGACCAAATCCTGTGGCAATCTCATCCAGTATCAATAAAGTATTGTATTCAACACAAAGCTCTTTAACTTTCTTCAAGAATTGAGGGTGATATATTCTCATACCACCAGCACCTTGAACAATTGGCTCTAAGATAACTGCTGCAATTCTTTCATGATTTTGTTTCAATGTTGATTCAAAATCAGAGATATCTTTTGGATTCCAAGTTTCGCCAAATTTGGTAGTAGGTGTATTAACAAAATAGTTTTGAGTCAAATAACCACTATAAGTTCTATGCATAGAATTAACAGGATCACAAACTGACATTGCTCCAAAAGTATCACCATGATAACCATAGTTTACAGTGAGAAAACGATCTTTAGGTAACTTGCTTTCTCCCATTTCTTTCTTTCCTTGCCAGTATAAATGTGCCAATTTTAAACCAACTTCAACAGCAACAGAGCCCGACTCAGCATAAAACACACTGTCTAATTCTTCTGGTGTAATCTCAATCAATTTCTTTGACAACTCTGTGGCAGGTTCATGAGAGACTCCAGCAAACATAAAGTGTGTGAATTTTGGTACTTGATCATAAATGGCTTGATTCAATTCTGGATTACAGCCTCCATGAATTTGACACCACCAAGAACTCATACCATCAACTAAATCCCTACCATCTTCTAGGGTGATAGAAGCACCATTGGTTTTAACAACCGAATATGTTGGAATTGGATTGGTCAGTGAAGAATATTGATGCCAGATATGCTTTTTATCAAATTCAGTGTCAATTGTCATTTCTTTGGGGGGATATAATGAAACGGAAGAATACTGAAAATTTTGATCATTAGCCCATTTTGAGGCCTTTATATACCATTTTCAACACACAGCTCAGAAGTTGATTCATCGATATTTGCAAGAGAATCAATTTTGTTGAATCATACCTATTTTTGTTGTTTAGTCCACGACGTTTCCGTAAACAGTAATTTTTTGGAGTCATTTGAAAATAATTGCAAAATTCAACGTTTGAGAAGGTACACCAGACAAGTTGACTTTAACGACTCAAATTCATTCGACTAGGCACTGCTTCTGTTGGGCAAAGATGATTCAGCTGCAAAAGATGCTAATCAATCAGGCCACAGTCTAATTGCATATATATTCAACCAGTCAAAACCCACTTTTTATCCCAACTTGTTTCCATTCAGCATACCATGATTAGTACAAAAGAATATTTGGGTTATTCAACCTCGCAAACATTGGATAGGCTACAACTATCTTCTATCGAAGATGAACTAAAAAATGCCACTATTTCTGAGACTCCAAGCTTATCTGAAACCAAAGTTGTGAGAATGAAATTACCACAAGAAGAACCACCTGTACCTTCAATCACGTTGAAAGACTTGTCAATAAATTACAAAGATGCTGATGCTGACAACGTTGCAGATGTTCTGGAAGAATACGGTGTTTGTATTGTTAAAGATTTTATGAAAAAAGAACAGTTGGATAAGATTAAAGGTGAGCTAGACCCAATATTTGAAACTAAAAAGAATGATCCAAGATTATTCCCAAAGGAAACTATAAGAATTACATCTACCGTTGCAAAATCACCAGCTGTTGTCAAAGAAGTGCTATCGAATCCTTTGCATGTTGACTTATCTGAAAAATTTTTGGCTAAAAAAAATGCATTTTGGATTGGGAACAATATTAATATAGGTTATTCTCCTTCTATAATTTCAAGCTCCATTGCATTTAGAGTTGGTCCAGGTGCCCCATTTCAGGCGTTACATCGTGATGATCATTCAGACCACAATATTAGAAAGTATCAAGAAAAATATGAGTATGGCTCTGAAACTCAAATTGGTGTTTCTGTTGCTTTGAGTAAAGTTACAAAAGAGAATGGAGGAACAAGATTTATTCCAGGATCTCATCTTTGGGATCACTTCAGAAAGCCCCACGAAGAGCAATGTATGCAAGTGGAATTGGATGAAGGTGACGGGTTTTTCATGCTGGCCTCTGTGTTTCATGGTGCTGGTGCAAATGTCACTGAAGATGAATTCAGAACCTTGTTGATTTTATTTATGTCCAATGCAACTACAAGGCAAAAAGAGAACATTTATTTGGAAAAATCCATTGATTATTTCAAACAGTTTAGTGCATCTGAGCTAAAGTTGCTAGGACTCAGCATGAGTGAGCCTTTTAGTGGGATGCTTGAGCTTCAAGACCCATTGGTTGCATTGAAACCTGGTTATGTTAGAAAAAGTAACTACTCCGATGTTTGTAAGGTTGAAGCAACTGAATAATAACTTTTTAAATTTTATACACGTCTTTTAAATCTGGAACTAAATGTTCAACCTCATCCAATGTAGATGCTCTAGGAATTTGAAAAAGAATTTTAACACCAAAAGCCTCCAATGTTCTTGAATTATCATTATTCAAATCCCCATTCAAAACAACACCAATCACTTTGACTCCTCTGTTCTTAAGATGCTCAATTGTTAACAAAGTATGATTCAATGTTCCAAGTTCAGATCTTGCGACAACAATTACTGGGCAATCAAAATGTTGGATCAGATCAGTTGTTATTAAACTTTCAGTTATTGGAACAAAGACACCACCAGCACCTTCAATAATTAAAACTTCTTTATTTTGCTCCAACTCCTTGGGGACTGAAATTTTTTTGATATCAATTGCTTCTCTATTTTCCAATTCAACTGCTCTCCAAGGGCTTAATGGTTTTTGGTATTCTAGTGCAGGAGTTGAAGTAACCAAAGAACTTCCAAGTAAATCTGAAACCGTCTTGGTATCACCTGGGTCAGATTCTAAACCTGTTTGAATTGGTTTCCAGTAACCTGCAGACCATCTTTTGCACAACAATGCTGAAATAAATGTCTTTCCAACATCAGTATCTGTCCCTGTAATGAATAATTTAATGGCCATTTTTGTGATGATGAATAAAGAGTAAGAGGAGTGACAGAACAGTAAAAAGTCAGAAGAAATGTTATTCATCTACCAGTCTTGCCATTCGTTTGATCCATCATGATGTAGAGCTTCCTACTTGAGTCACATCATGACTCAATTAGAATCATAATCTGATTTACGTTCCAACAAAACAACAAATCATCATTCGTGAAGACTCAACAATTATTCACCTTTCAATATTCCTCTTCTTTGAAGCAAAAGAGATTTAATAAATTAAAAGCCAACGAATTCGAATTCCTCTTTTACTTAACACTCAAACATGGAACGCGAAACAAGTCTTGAAAAAAAACTTGAGTTTGATCGTCAACATATTTGGCATCCTTATACTTCCTTAACAAAACCATTGAAATGTTACCATGTGGAGTCTGCTGAAGGAGTCAAAATCAAATTTTCTGATGGGAATGAGGTGATTGATGGTATGTCATCCTGGTGGTGTGCAATTCATGGTTATAATCATCCAGAGTTGAATAAAGCTGCTCATGAACAAATAGATCGAATGTCACACGTTATGTTTGGAGGATTAACCCATGATCCAGCCATTTTATTAGTACAAAAACTACTTGGATTAGTTGACAACAAGCTGGACTGCTGTTTTCTTGCTGATTCAGGATCTGTTTCAGTTGAAGTGTCATTGAAAATGGCCATACAATATTGTCATGCTACAGGTGAATATGAGAAAAATAGATTTTTGACTATTAAGAATGGATATCATGGTGATACATTTGGAGCTATGTCTGTCTGCGATCCAATAAACTCTATGCACTCCCTTTACTCTGGTTATATGTCTGATAAACATATATTTGCAGAATCACCAAAATGTCGCTTTGATGATGAATGGGATGAAGATGACGTGACAGATTTCAAAGAAAAGCTTGAAGGTAATCACAGTCAAATTGCAGCTGTTATTTTAGAGCCTATATTACAAGGTGCAGGCGGTATGAGAATGTATCATCCAATGTTTTTGAGACGAGTAAGAGAACTTTGTGATCAATACAATGTTTTACTAATCTTGGATGAAATCGCTACAGGGTTTGGGCGAACTGGTAAATTATTCGCTTATGAACATGCTGATATAGTTCCTGATATTATGCTTGTTGGGAAAGCTTTAACAGGTGGATATATGACCCTTGCAGCTCTTTTATGTCAAAGGTTTGTTGCTGAAACTATAGGCCAAGATCCGAAAACCGGTGGATTGATGATGCATGGTCCAACATTCATGGGTAATCCATTGGCTTGCTCTGTAGGAGTGAAAAGTTTAGAAATTATTGAAAAAGGTGACTGGCTTCAACAGAGTAAAAACATTGAGGCTAGTTTGAAGAATGGGCTGTATGACTTGAGAAACTGCATTATTGTTGAGGATGTCAGAGTTTTAGGTAGTGTTGGTGTTGTTGAACTGAAGATTCCTGTCGATATGGCTTGGTTCCAAGAGGTATTCACACAGAAACATCATGTTTGGATCCGTCCTTTCAATAAGCTGGTGTACATTATGCCGCCTTATATTATAACTGATGCTGATTTGAAAAAGCTCATGAATGCTGTTTGTGATACTGTTCGGTTGTATAGTACAAGAGTTATGGAATAAATGTGGGCGAGGTTGAAGGCTTGTTTTATCATCTCCTTTTGAAGCGATTTAATAATATTAGTTCCTAATGACTAACGCATTGTATTGGCACATCCGCGGAATCGATCGTATATTGCGAATATGCCACCAATCAACCACAGCTCGTGTTATCAGGTGTTCAACTCTCTATAAATTATATCAAGATAGCACCAGTGAAGCAGACAATAATATTATTATACACCTGGTCCCCTGTCCACGCCTAATCAAGACGACATCTTGAGGTCCATCTTGAGGAGTACAACATCGAGCTCGTATCGATACACCTCCAGTTCAATCTGCTTTACCACTACCTGGTAATCAATAATTCGACGTCTACTGAGGGTACTTGTGAGTTGTGAATTTGATATTCGTAAGCCTGTCAAGTATTAGTTCCACTTGAGAGTCTGACATCCTCTATTCTCCAAGTCGTCGACCTTATCAGTTGTAGTTAAAATAATTAGTGATGTCTGGATCCATTCAAGACTCAAGAGTGTACAACTACTTCAACTAGATCCCAAGGCACTTTAGGCAAAAAAGCCTTTCAAAGATAGATTATGTCAAAGAGACAGCATCCAGCGGGTTCAAGCAGAAAATGGCACAATCACCGCCAAGCCAAAACCGTTGGCCTTGTTTTGGCCACAAAATAAATTCCGATAAATCTTGAAACAAGTTGATAAACTTCGATTAATCAATCGATCTAAGTTGCACAATAGATATGGGAACTTATATATAAAGAATTGTGATACCCAGTTCACCAAAACAATAACGATGGCTAACTTCAAATAACAATATCCTGGACAATGTCAACTGGTGTCGAGCCTATTGCTAGTCCCTTGAAATCTTTAAGATCTGTCACCTCGAAACATGCTGGTACAGTCAACTACATCAATGCTAAAGAAGCTCATAATGCTGAAGAGTTACTAGCAGAAATCGGTTATAAGCAAGAATTAAACAGAACCTTCAGTCCGATCCAGGTCTTTGGTATTGCCTTCTCAATCATGGGTTTACTTCCAAGTATTGCCACCGTACTAAGTATTGGATTGGTTGGTGGTCCAGCAGCTTTAGTTTGGAGTTGGTTTGTTGGAGGGTTTTTCATTCTAGGGATTGGAATTGGTATGGCTGAACTCTCATCATCTATCCCAACCTCAGGTGGGTTGTACTACTGGACATATTATTATTCTCCACCATCACTTAAAGCAGTTCTTTCCTTTGTGATTGGTACATCAAATTCTTTGGCCCTTGCTGGTGGTGTTTGCTCAATTACGTACGGTATGGCTGAACAAGTACTTGCTGCGGCATCCCTTGGCTCTAATGGTAGCTTCGAAATTACAAATGGGAAAGTTTATGGTGTTTACGCTGCTTGTATTTTTGCTGAATTATTGGTTACTTGCTTTGCTTCTTCAGCTGTTGCCAAATTACAAACTGCTTCAATTGTTGCAAATTGTGGATTAATCGTTTTGTTTTTCATTGCTTTGCCAATTGGTACAGTTAGGAATGCTCATTTCAATGACGGCTCATTTATCTTTGGAAAATATCAAAATTCAAGTGATTGGAGTGATGGATGGGCTTTTTTCTTATCAATGCTTGCCAGTTCATGGACCATTGGTGCTTTTGATAGTTGTTTACACATGAGTGAAGAAGCAAAGAACCCAACTAGATCAGTCCCATTTGGTATCATATCATCGATCACTGTTTGTTGGATATTAGGTTTTTTGATCTTGATTGTTATCAATGCTTGTATTACCACAGATATACAAAGCATAATTTCCACAGAGCTTGGGCAACCTTTAGCTCAGGTATTTTATGATTCTTTGGGTAAAAAATGGGCAATTGCCTTCATTTCTTTAACAGCTGTCTGTCAGTTTTTAATGGGTGCTAGTATTCTAACTGCTATTTCAAGACAAGCTTGGGCATTTGCTAGAGATGATGGGTTACCATTCTCTTCTGTGATTAAAGTTGTTGACAAAAAACTAAAAGTCCCGCTAAGAGCTGTTGCTTTCAGTGCCACTATTGCGTTATTATTGGGTCTTTTGATTTTGGCTGGTGCAACCGCTGCAAATGCCTTGTTTTCAATTGCCATCATTGGGAACTATGTTAGTTGGGCAACTCCTCAAATTTTGCGTTTCACAAGTGGTAAAGATTTATTCAAGCCTGGTTATTTCTACACTGGTAAGATATTGTCTCCAATAATTAATATCATCTCTGTTTTGTTCCAGTTCTTCGTTATTGTTTTGGCTTGTTTCCCAAGCGAGAAGAAGCTAAATGGTCCCGACACCATGAACTATGCTGTTGTTATTAATTGTGGTATATGGATTCTCTCTCTAGGGTATTACTTTGCGTTTAAGAGAAATATTTACACTGGTCCAAAGTCAAACTTGAGTGATGAGGAGTATATTGAAGCGGTTGCTCAACAAGATTTGATTGATAATGTTGTACTCCAAGAGAAGAGCTCAAATTAGGCAGTTTCTGGTTACTATAATACACATGTTTAATATGTATTTTGTTTGTGGTTGTAAATCTCTACACTTGACTAGTGAGTGAACTCCTTCATTTTCCATTCCTCAGTGGTGCTAAACCAAGTCTCAACTAGATTTGATGAAAACGCAGTCATTTATTTCGCAAAACACATTAATGTTTAATCCAAATTTATCAAGCAGATAGGTACAATGTATACTTATTAAAAGCGTTCACTCAATCGATTCAGCTACTTTTTTGTGTAGATCCTTAGGTTTTTTTATGGGTATAATAGATAGAGTACTGTCTTGTCTGGATTCTTCTGATGCTCTGTTGGGTTAGTTATTTCAAAATGCATAAAATCAGGGATGGTCCCGACGACAACAATAGATCCAAAAACTTAATTTCGGGATTTCAAAGCAGTAGTGTTGTATATATTAGGGCAATAGAGAATTCTGAATAAGCAGCTGGTAGTTGTTGATTGGTTAGCTTTTCACTATTTAATTCTTGCATTTACAACAATGTTTCCTAGTTATTCTTATTCAAAACGACATCACGATAGACCACTATTAATAGTTGAAGAGATGTAGTTATATGTATTATGATATAGTTATAAATATTACCAGCTAGAAGACTCCTCTTGTACACTTTTTATCGAGAACTATGCTAGATATCCGAGTACAACTAGTGCAAGCATTTACTTTTGATCATCTTTCTTCGCAGCGTCATCCCTCTCTTTAGCATCTTTATCGTAAACAACATGGAAACCACCGCCTGGAGCTGGAACTGTTTTAAGATATTTTTCATAAGGCTTGACTTCACCATTTTTTTTTCTTTGTCTAGCCTCTTCAGCTAAATCACCAAACACTTCAGGATCCTGGCCTCCATACACAATATTATCCACTTTATCTGTTCCGGACATTCTTGATTAATTTGACCTGCTATTATTGATCTCTTCTCTGAAAGGACAACCTTACCACAGTTCTGGTGACTGGCCCTAGAATATATGATAGAAGAAGGAGCTATCACAAGTGGTTAAGCGATTTTATGACCAACGATACAAAGGGCAGCTCAGGTGTGATTTATATCAGAATTTTTACATGTTGTCTCAGAAGTCAAAATAATTGACTTGCGGCCAAAGAGGCCAAAAAAAAAGAAAAGAAAACTAGATATGTTACACGGTACACCTGTCATTCAACTTTGAACTGTAGTCGCGACTCGTCCATAGTTTTGACGTTTTGACACAATGACACAATTAGTACATGTACCCAAATCTTGGCTTAAAGAATCCATTACATTTAGCATTTAAAGTTCGAAAGAAGGCGGTATCATTAGAAATTGAACATTGAACGGTGCTACGGTGCCATGTTGAGCTCTACATATTTAAATGATACAACCTGTGATTTGCAAGTTATATACTGTGTGTGTCCTTTCTCCTTGGACACTCGTCAGGTTTCAGAAGATTCGCGGAAATGTCACAGTGTACTAGTGAAGAAGCTGCTCGTACTGTATGATATTCCGGTGAAACAATCAACCCTGCACAAGTTACAAAAGTCACCCAAGACCCAAGACCTTGTAACTCCAAGATCAGCTCAGAGCTGGCGGCCTTCATAGGTCGAAATACAAGAGTCAATCTTCAAACTCCCCAAGAATTGTGTTGTGTTGGGCCTGCGCAGCAGGGCCAACTTTTTGCGTTTGTGCGAGGTGTTTGTCGAATTGTGTCGGATGTTTGTGCCTGGTGTTGTTGTTTTTTCACTAGGTACAACTGTGTTTGTAAGGCCTGGTACTCGTGTTATTTTTTGAGGTGCTCGTCTTTATTCTGCCGTATGAGTGTTCTAAAGCCAGTCTCTCGGTACTTGACTAGCTAGGTGTTACTGGGTATTGTGATTGCTTATTTGAGTACTCGGATTCGTCACTTTAGTGTTTGAGTTCGTTACATGCGGGTCTGCATGCGGCTCTGTAGTGCTTGGTGCTATCAATTATCAGGTACTCGGTGCTATACCTCTTGGTGCTTGAAGGTTTCTGTTGGAATTGTCTATGGTGCTTGACTTGTAATTGTACTTGGTGTCGCCTGTTTCTTTGGACTCGGTGTTCGACTATTTTAGTAAGGGGTTTGCCTTGAGGTATTGGTCTACCACTCCCGGCTTTATCTAAGTTAGTGGTGTTTGCCTTTTGGTGATGGTGTCCAATTGTTCCATCTTTAATAGTGCTCCATTTTGAGCACCAAAAGTCCTTGCTTTGGTAGTGTTTGAAGATTCAGTGATCAAGGTGCTTGCAGTTTTCTCAAACACCCGCTAATTTTGGCAGTCGATCAGTTTGATTCAAATTCAATTAAATTACAATGATTTTAAATACAATGTTAATTGGAAAAGTGATTTACCCATAGATAATCTATTCAAGCTACGATTCTAACTCTTTACCAATTAATTCAAACCCGCTTTCGCTGATATATCCATCATATAATCGTTTGGTCACGTGCCTCTTCTCGGAAAAAAAATTTCAGGGGCAAAAATGTAAACAACTTCAACAATGAACACAACAAGATTAAATCAAAGTAATACAATCACCATTTGCTAACTCAGCTCCATCCAGTCCTTTTTCTCACTTGATTATATATGTTTACAGGATCGATATCTTGAATGATTATTTATGATGTTCAATATTGTCCAACAACCACATTGTCATCTTTGAAACTTAAAGCTCAAATGAAACATCAGAATATTTTTAGGATTTGAAAAGATTATATCCATTATTGTCTCAGTTCAATGAAATGATCATCAAAGAACCTCCAATACCTTGAATGATTATTTAAGATGCTCAATCTAAAAGAATACCATGGTCTTTAAAACATCAGAATCTTATTAGGACTAGAAGATCAAGTATCCTTCATCCTGTTTCAATCCAAAAGAATGTTCATGCTCTTTAATTGATTGTGGTATTGATTCTTATATTATCCAACAACCACAATGTCATCCTTGAAAGTTAGAACTTAAATGAAACATAAGCATCTTATTAGGACTTGAAGATCAAGTATCCTACATCCTGTTTCAATCATAAAGAATGTCATGGTCTTCAATTTATTACGGTTAAATATGCCATTAAACATGGTGATTTAGTATCACATTTATGGTTGCAGTCAATAGAAACGCTGAACCCTTGGATAACCAAATAAACCACCTTGATTAAGCATGCTGAATACACTGTTGGTTTTCGTATTCTTATTCCAAGAGTTCAAATTACCAAACAAAAAGATTTTCAACCTATTTATTATTTGTCATGAAGATTGATATTATTTTGTTGAATTAATTAATTATACATGTTACAATTACAAACAATGAACCAGGTTCAGATGCTTCATCTCCCAATTCAAACATCATTTGTTGACTATTCCCCATTGAATAATAACCAAATGTCATAAGGTTATTTTTCTTGAGATCTCATCTGAGGTAATCCTATTATTATTATTAGTGGATTTATTTTATTATTATTTTATTATTAGTGGATTTTGTTAATGTGCGTGTCACGGTATAGGTGGGAGGGTACTACCGTAGGTGTGACGGTATTGACGTGTGGTTATACGCTTTATCTGTTGTGGTACACTTGCAGGTGTGACGCTTATAGGTGGTAGGATACGCTCTGGAGAGCAAGTGTTGTGCTTTATTTCCATCAATATAAGGGTTTTTTTAATGGTAAAAACTGTTGTAGAATCACCAGAAAAGGCTCTTTCCCTGGATATAATTATTGTATTGATATCTTGTGTTTTTATGTTTTTATTACTTTTTTTAAAGTTTAGATTTTTATTGACCTTGTATTATTTTTTATAATTTGAATATTTATAATATTGGAATACTGTAATTATTAAATTTCTTGAAACTATGAAATAACAATATAGGGATATTCTATGGCTTATTTTAAGTGGATAGAGCTATTTTAATTTACTAGTTTGTTATTTGGTTGTAAAGTTATTGTTGGTTGAACTTATAGAGCCTGGTATGGGACACAATTATGGTTATATTATAGAAAGTATAAAGAATTTAGTAAAGTTTGAATATGGATATGGTCAATTGAGTGCTCGTTAAGCTACATGCAAGGTTTGGTGGTTATATCTTTTTAATTGGGTTGTTGGTGGTGGGTTATATGGATTCCGAGATCATCTTCGGGGATTAAACATGGTATAGATATGAAACCACAATATATGAATTCTAGTTTGAACTGTCATATTATTAAGCCTACTCTATTTCATAAGCATGTCACTCGATTCGCTCTGGATCATTGTGGTTGTAGAGATATTCCGGGTTAAAGTTGGTCCCCATAGTTAAGGAATTTGGAATTTTGTGTCAAAAATTAACTTTTTCTTATATGATGGAGTTTGGTGAAAGTAAAGGGCTTTGTATAACAAGAGACATTTAAAAAGATGAAAGCCAAAGTCTGGAAGTGATTGCAGTTAAATTGGTGAAGTTGGTGTATTTTGTGGTATCTTAGTGGGATGTATCCCCGAATAGAAAAACTTGAGAAGCCTACAACTCTTAGTTCTGCTATAGATCTTTTGAAATAGACTGTGCAAATTCTATAGCACTTAATTTCTTTTCATAATGTTTTGATTTGATCAAATTATCCCAGGTTTCATGATTTTCAGGGTCTCACCGAGCAAGATTAATATAGTGAAAAATGAAAATTCCGATTTTGCTAAAGTAAAGGTACCCATGGATAGCCAAGATACGATTGTATTGGGTCCAGCTAAAACAGGGTTTCATTTCTCGGTAGTTTGGTGGGAATCGTGGTTTTGGTGATGTCCATAGTTAAGGTCAACATTATAGGCAGTTCATACCGGGATACCCAAATTTCAGCAACAGTAGATTCTTAGTTATTTTGTGGGATTTGTAGAGAGAATTCAGTAGATATAAGCGCTCCTAGTCTGGGTTTCTGTGATTGTCTGTGGAATTGTCTATCCCAGGATACTTAAAATCTGGGGTAATCACCGACGACAACAATAGGTCAAAAATATGAATTTCCGGATTTCAAAAAGTAGTAGTACCAATGGATAGCGCATCCAAGATACCATGGCACCACGGCGTAACGTTTCAGGATTTCTTGGTAGATCTTGGGAAATCAATCATATTGTTGACAACAAATTTTCAGATTTGAAATTCACGATTTTTTCAAAAAGTTCGATCTTGAAGTCAATACTGAGTCAAGATGTTTTGAGTCAAGTGCTTTCTATGAAGAAGCTGGTGAAGTTTAACGCTACACAAATCGATTTTTAGTCTCATGTTTTATAAGTACTAATATTTCTAGTTATATGATTTTCGCTGTTGCAAAGGCCTCTCAGGAAACTAAAGTTTTTATGGACTTTAAGAAGCGATATCAAGAATTCCTATGACATGTGGATTCATGGCATGCATTGAACCATAAAGACCATCTAATGAGGATTCAGAAACAGCAATTGGTATAGTAATGATGTTTTATGTACTTCTTAAAATTCTTCAAAAATTGTGATTTGAAACCCAAATGGAAATTGGTACTAGAGGATATGAGTCTCCATGACATCATTTATTAGGGTAATAGACCACGCTAAATAACCTGGTATTCGTCAAATCCCAAGAAATGCTTTCAGTCTGTGAAATTGTCACTGTTTATGTTGATAACGGTGTTCCGCGAATTTCAAAATTGGTCAAAATCACATGACATCTGACCTAATTATAGCCTGAGCTATCCCAAGAGTGGGATATGGTTACTTGGGGGTCGAAGTATACTACTGAGCAAGTTACTGTCTCATTAAATGATCTATATTGTGTTGTTTTATGTCCTCCAAAGATTCTCCAGTAGTTAAAAATCAATTTCCGGTCAGCCCCTCGAATGTCATGTTTGTTTTGAAAAATGTCGTCGAAAAAATTTCACCCCTTGTTTTCTTCAACAACAAAC